GAAATAGTTGGACCTCACTATAAGCTCCTGATTGAGGAGAACTTCCTAGAAAGCTGCCCCCTTTTCCAGAACGTTTTCGAATTTGGTCGGCCGCTGTTACTCCTCATTATAAGAACAAATTTTTTTAACCCCAAAGAGTTCTTATAACGAGGGATATATTAAATAGGGGGTATAGCCTAGGAAGCTCCCCTTCCCAGTGATCGACCAAAATTCAACAAATATCCTGAGATAGCGTGATCCGAACCCAAAATACTTTCAAAAAAAAATTTCCATACCATCATTCTAAGCGTTTCCCTCATAATTCTAACAACTTCTTCTTTTGCTCTTCTTAATGATAATTCATCTCTAGCTTCAATAAATAAATAAAGTTTTCTGTCTTGTCCAGGTTTTGGTTCTTTTCCTAATGGATAATGAGTTCCTTTAACTGATATTCCAACATCAACAAATTCTTGTATTTGGGCAATAACTTCCTTTAAAATTTTTAAAAATTATTTGAAAAATTATTTCCCCAAAAGGGTTCGAACCTATGACCCCAAAAAATAATTTATCCCACTTAACCAAAAATCCATATTTTTTTAAAAATTTTAAAAATCAATAAAAAATTGTTTTCTTACTCTTGAACAAACTCTAAAACGCAACATTTGCGGAAAATCATTAATTTCCAATTCTTCTTCAAAATATTGAATTTGTTGTTCAGCTTCTTTTTCTTTAAAATCAGAAGGTAAATAATCAAGTTTTTCGTTCAATTCCATTGCTTTTTGTTTAGCAAGCGAAATCCCCTTTAAAAATTTTAAAAATAAATAGCAAATTTTAGAAAATAAAAATATTTTCCCCGAAAAGGAGTTCGAACCTATGACCCCCCAAAAAAGATGTAAACCACTTAACCAAAAATACATTTTTGGCTAATGGATTTTTAATGACATGGGTTCAAACCGATCTCGGAGAAGGTATTTTTATCTTTTAAAATTTACTATTTATTATTACAATTAAAGAAAAATTCTCTGCAAACCGTTAAATTCACTGGCTGGGCTTCCGTTCCTTTCATTATAGCTTCAGCTGTTAAATGCGTTGCATCTTTTTCCATAGAAGCTTGTCCCAATTTTGCAGCAATTTGTTCAGCCATTGCTCTTGCAGCTTCAACTTTCTTTTCTGTTGAAGGATCAGGCTTTCCTCTCCATCCAGCACCTGCTCGACGAGTTGTAACTCTTTTACTGCTTTTCATCATTCCAATCTTTAAAAAAATATAAGAAAATTATTTGTAAAAAAGAAGGAAAAAAACAGTAAAAATTCCTTATAGTGGAAAAGGTCTATCAAAAATATTTTTTAAAGCAAAATAAAAATATTTTTTCCAAAAAGGGGTTCGAACCCATGACCCCCAAAAAATAAAATTAAACCACTTAACCAAATGTGAGAATAGACAAATAAAAGCTAAAAAGATTGGCTAAAACCCTTTTATTAGAGATATTAAAGCCCCCCTAAATTTCGGAAAAAATGCAGAAAGACAACCCATCAATTTAAACCCCAATCCCCAATAACTCAAATCCTATACCACTTAACCAAAAAATTTAAAAAAATAAAAACCAATTGATCATCAATATTTTCAGATTCATCATCCATTCCACTTTCTATTCCATGCATTAATTTAGTTAATTTTCTTTTATTCATTTCACTTTCATCCTCAATTTCATCATAACGAAAACCTGAACCAGAATATCCTCCACCACCCATATGTATTTCTTTTCCTTCTTCAGCCATTTTTGTTTTATATTCTTCCCATAATTTCTTCAAATCTTCGGGAGGTTCAATTCCAGCTGTTTCAAAAGCTCGAACAACTTCTCCAGCAATTTTTTCCTGTCCTGTTGCCAAAACAAATGTATAAGCATAACCTTTATTTCCTGCGCGCCCAGTCCTTCCAACTCTATGAACATAATCTTCATAATGATTAGGGGCATCATAATTTACTACCAAAATTAATTTTTTGACATCGAGACCACGAGCAGCGACAGATGTTGCGACCTAGAATTTTTTAAATTAAAAAAGTCAAAACGCTATAAAAGAGACCCCAAAAATAAATACCCTTCTATTTGTTGTAATTTTGGTTAAGTGAGTTACAATTATTTTTGAGGGTCATGGGTTCAACCCTTTCAGGGAAAAATACTTTTTTTTATTTTTTAAATTTGAGTTAAGAGATCCCAAAAATAAATGCCCTCCTATTTGTTGAATTTTTTGGTTAAGTGGTTTACATTAAATTTTGGAGGTCGTGGGTTCGAACCCTCTCGGGAGAAAATATTTTTTTATTTATAAAATTGAGTGAGAAAAGTTTCCAAAGCAATACCCTCCATCTAAAACACCCCAATTATAAAATACACTTTTTTTCAGTCACAAGGGTCCCCTAACTGTATAAAAAATATACCATTAATTTCAATCTTCCAGTCTTAAAATCAAAAATAGTAAAATCTCTATCATCTTGATCTATTCCTCCATGAAGTGGAGCACAATTATAACCAGCAAGCATTAATTGCGAAACCAAATCATCAGCCTTTTCTTGTTTTTCAACAAAAACTAAAACATTCCCATGCTCCCAATATTGCCCAAGTAATTCTAGCAATTTTAAAAATTTTTGGTGTTCTTCCAAAACTAGAGCGTGTTGCTCAACGTCTTTACAAACAACACTGCGACCACCAACCTTTAAAAATTTGGAAAAAAAATAATGAAAAATTAGAGAATACAGTCGAAGATCACTTGTAAACACACCCTCGGTTCTGAAAAAAATCGTACCTTATAATGAGGTGTTTCTTAAATAGAGGGTATCTATTAAACGCATCCCCACCCAGTGGCTAATCAAGTTCAAAAAAAACGTATCTCAACAGTTGTCTTATATTAGGGGTATCTTATAAAGTATGTAGCCTGTAATTTACCTTATAATAAGTGTATATTAAATAGAAATAGTAACCAACCAAGTTAACCCCCAGTAACCAACCAAGTTAACCCCCAGTAACCAACCAAATTAAAAAAAACATCTTAAATAGATTCTATCTACTAGTGAAAGTCCTCAACTACATTCATCAAAATAGTATACTTACAACAATTTCCACAGGTCTTTCCAAAACTTTCCTTGCCAAAGCTTCCATTGTTTTAGGAAAAGTAGCTGAGAAAAGAACTGTTTGTCTATCAGGACGTACATTATTTACCATTTTCATTACTTGTGGTTCAAATCCCATGTCAAACATGCGATCAGCTTCGTCCATAACTAGATAAGTAACACGACGAAGATTGGTGACTTTACCTAGAAAATTTATTTTTGAGAAATTATAAGGAGCAAAATGGTCAAAGAATTCATGAACTTGGGCTCTCGGCCGTAACTCTTCCCAGAATTAATTTTTAAAAAATTGTGAAGTTTGGTTAAGTGGGAAAGCTTTGTGTTCATGAAGGAAAGGGTCGCAGGTTCGAACCCGCTCAGGATAGAAATTTTAGTTTTACGTATAAAAGAGTCGTTCCTATAATTAAGTCTTAAGAATCTGTCATTTAAAAAATTGTGAAATTTGGTTAAGTGGGAAAGCTGTGTGTTCATAAAGGAAAAGGTCGCAGGTTCGAACCCGCTTAGGGTAAAAATTTAATTTTATGAAGTTTAACCGATTTATGGGTGTAATTAAAAAATTCATTTGAAAAATTTAAGAAACCATTATTAGCAGCAAGCATATCAATCATCCTTCCAGGTGTACACACCACCACTTCAGCTCCCTTTTTTAGTTCCGCAATTTGTTCAGATATAGCAACACCTCCATAAACACAAACAACACGTATACCCAAATTTCTAGCAAATTTATTTGTTTCTTTCCATGTTTGTAAAGCGAGTTCTCTTGTTGGGGACATTATTAAAGCTTCAAAAAAGAGATTTTTTAATCAAAAAATTAAAAAAACCGATAGGTCCATCCATATCTTCTAATGGTGGCTGATCCAAAATATGTCTAAACATTGGAATAAGAAAAGCCAAAGTTTTTCCACTTCCAGTTTTTGCAATTCCAATAACATCTCTTCCACTCATTATTGCAGGAATTGCTTGGGCTTGGATTGGTGTAGGTTTTTGGTAATTGTGACTGAAAAAAATTTTAAATAAAATTTTTTGAGGGTGATGTAATGAATGGGGAGGTCATGGGCCAGAATCCTCTACAAGTAAAAGATTAAATTTAATTAATAAAATTAAAAAAATTTCACCATTCGTAGTGACTTTTGCCTTCTCATTATTACCGATAAAGTACCTCATAAAGTTTGGTTAAGTGGGAAAACTTTATGTTTATGGGGGTGAGGTCATGGGTTCGAACTCGCTTGGGGTAAAAACTTTTTAGAAATTAAAAAATTCCATTAAAAACTAAAAAAATCAAAAACCTACACTTTTAAAACATTCATAACTTTAATATCAACTCCACATTGTGACCAATTTTTTATTGGTTTGGGAACATTCTTTCCTCTAACGTGAATTTCATCCAATTCTTCACGATAATCTTCAACCTCCTTTTTTGTCATTTTAGCAATTTCCGGAACTTCGATATAAAACTGAAAAACGAATATTATTTATTGGAATCCTTGGTTAAAATATTATTTTTTTAAGAATTTTAAGTAAATCCTTGCATTATAGTAATAAAAATGAGGTCGTGAGTTCGAACCCGCTCGGGGTAAACCATTATTTTTAAAATGAAATTAAAATATTAATATATTCTAAGGGATATTTAAAAATTGAGAACGACTAAAAATTTTTTTCTTTATTCAAAAGACGAAAATTTAAAGGAAACCCAAGATCGTTGTGTTTATTTGTAAAGATAGGTCGAGGGTTCGAACCCGTTCCTGGTAAAACATTATTTTTATAACGAACTTTTTTGTGTTAATAGATTCCTAGGATTATTCAAAAACCTAACTTGTTTAAAAAAATTTTTCATCAGTCAAAAAGCTAAAAATTTTAGAGAAGACCAAGCCCTAAGCTTCCCCGTCTAAAAAAATAAAATTTAAACCTCCTTCCGAAAAGGCCTATAATACACTTTTGTGTGATCCGTTTGTGCCAACATTCTTCCTTTTACTAGTAAACTTGATGCAGTTTGTTCAACATCGAGTTCATCTTGTGCTTGTTCCTTTTCATCTTCAGGTTCGACAATATCTCCCTTATTCGGGGCACTTTTAGAAACAGCTCCAATCACAACAACACGGGCTTTCTTGTTCTAAAAGAGCAAAAAAGCTTATAAAACTCCAAAAAATTAATAAAAAAAACCTCAGCTCCAGCTCTAGCTTTTTGTGAAATTTCTGCCATGTAAGCGTCCAAAGGATCTTCATCTGCTGATTCAGTGCTGGGGGTATTTGTTGAAGTTGTGTCCATTCTAAATTTAAAATAAGTCGAATATAAGGGTGTTATGAGCAGGCCCGTAACCAGGGGGGGGGTGAGGGGGGGAATTCCCCCCCCCCGAAATGGGAAAAAGGAAAAAATTTGGGGAAGGGCTGGGGCAAAAAAGTGAATTTTTTTGGCCTACGGCCTTCGAAATTTTCAAAATTTTCGCCTGCGGCGCTAAAAAAGGACGAAATCTGGCTTCTTGAGGTCCAAAATTCAAAAAATTTTCGCCAGCGGCGCTGAAAATCAAATTTTTGGCGCCTGCGGCGCCGAAAAAGTGAATTTTTTGGCCTACGGCCTTCTAAAATTAAAAAAATTTTCGCCTGCGGCGCTAAAAATAAAAATTTTTGGCGCCTTCGGCGCCAAAAATTTGGCGCAATAAAATTTCCCCCCCCCCCGAAAAAAAATCCTAGTTACGGGCCTGGTTATGAGTGATGTTGAAAGGAAAGGTGGAAAGAAACAGGATTAAATGGGAGATGGAAATCTTAAGATGAGTCCAGTCAGAAGCACACCCCGACTCTCATCCAACCCAAAAATGACCATCAACGTTTATATTTTATTGCATTGCGGATCAGTCCCCAAAAAAGTCAAAATTTTGGACTCATTCAATAATTGAGAATCGTCAGGAATCGAAACCGTTTTAAATTCATTAAAATTGGGTATAACCCAGTTAGGCGCGCAGCCAAGTAGGCGCAAAGCCATAACTTGCTTCAAGTTTTCCGAATCTTACCAAATTTAGTATTAAACGATTCCTCTCATCGCGTTAGAGATAGAGCGAGAAATTTTCCAGCCAGTTATGGCTTTGCGCCTACTTGGCCGTGCGCCGAGTGTTCCATTGAAACCAAGACTAAAAAAATATCCTTCCCCCAAAAAGATTTTTTTTAATTTAAAGGACAACAAACCTTTCATCACTCAAAATATTTCCATTTGTTGCTTCATTCTGTTCATTCACCGCTCCATTACCAACCAATTCCCCCATATTTTCATCTTTAACAGTTCCATTCCCATTTTCAATTACATTGTCTTCATCGTCATCTTCTCCTTCCAAAGTCCACGAAGAGGAAGGTTTGGCTTCTTCAGGTAATGGAGGGGGAAGTGTTCCTTCTGCAGTCTTCTTTTCTTGAAGTTTTTTCTGTTGTTCTCTCCATTTTTCAACTTTTTCACGTCTTTTTTGAATTTCTTGGTCTAGTTTTTCTGTTATTTTGTCCTATAAATGAGGGGATTTCTTTAAGTAATACTCACTTTTTTAAAAGGCCTACCCGGTTTATAATCATGATGGGAAGTCCATTTCTAAAAGTCAAACACTGACTTAAACCCCCAAAAGTCAAATTGACCTCATCCACTTATTAGAACCGGGTAGAGGCTTCCGCCTTAAAATTGGCTTCCCCCTATTAATTATTAGAGACTTCCAAGACCGAAAGTTTCCAAGACTCAAGACTAGACACAAGACTGACTGAAAAAACCCCAAAAAGTCCTGAGTCAAGACCAAGAGTCTTGGACGACTCTCCTACTTATCCTTCCTAAAAATAAGTCCGGCGTAACCCACCCTGCCAAAAAATAGAAATATAAGGGGAAATTAAGGTTGGACATAACCAATTAACCGCCCGCTTAATTTTTCCCTGTGACGGGGCAAAAAGAGAAGAGATAAAAAAGACCCGCCACGGGGAAAAATTAACCGGGCGGTTAACCGGTTATGTCCAATCCCAGGGAAAATGTCAACAATCCCAAAAATGTCACCAACCCCCAAAAATTCCCTCCCTTTAAAAAATTACTTTTTTTAAAATCAACCAAACCTTGTCAGCAGAATTAACAATTTCCCCAATATCAATTTCTCCTTTTTTCTTTTTTGTCGAAGATTCCTTTTCTTTTTCATTTTTTTCTCGAATTTTTCTCCCAACATTTTCATCCCTTTCTCGTGGAGATCTAGAACGACTTCTACTTCTTTTAGAGCCTCTTTCCCTTCTTTTTTCTTCCTTTTTTGAACGTGATTCTTCTCTTTCCCTGTCAGAATCTCGAGAATAAAATTTTGAAATTGTTGGCATTTTTTAAAAAATATTTTTCTAAAAATTAATTTAAAAACGAATAAATTGAAAAAATATTTGTGTACAGAAACTATAACTTTAGAAAAAATAGAAAAAACTTTAAAAAATCAATGTTTATCAAAATGCCAAATTAAAGCAAAATTTTCTGACTTTTCCGTTATACGCCCACAAATTCTTTTGGCTGTAGTTCAACTAATGACCGGTTCCGTCTTTAGATTTATATACCATTCGACTCATTGTCAGCTCAACGGTGTAGGATGATCGCGAATGCCTGCGGACCGAGATATAGACCCTTGAAAACTGAAAAACCAAAAGAGGGCAATGCTTAAATTTCGAGGTCGAAAATCGATAAGCTCCTTCGAACGAGCTGATTGTGAGTCGAATGACACCAAAATCAGCTCGATTCTATATTTCTAAAAAAAATTACGAAAAAATTTTTTCAGGGCGTATAACGGAAAAGTACTCAAAAAATTTTTAATAAATGGAAAAATAAATTAAATTACCACAAACCTAGCAATAAGTCTACAAACAAATTTATCTCAATCAATTCTTTTAATTATAGCCTCACGTGTTAACACACGATTACCACCTTCCACATGAGCAGACTGGTCTTCATCTTCTTTAATTGACACAGAAAATTTAATTTTTGGATTGAATTTATTGGCAAGTTGGAAAGTTGTAAATTTCAGTTTTTCATTAATTTCAATTTTAATATTTTCTGCTCTTTCACTTGAAATTCGCGGTCCAGAGATATTTTGCAATTCAATTTCTTTCACCATTTTTGTAATTTCTTGCGACGTTTCTATATGCTAAAATGAAAATTAAATTTTTAATCAAATTTTTCTAATTTTCTTATCAAAAATTCATTCCCGATTAAGCATCTTGAGCCTTACAATATTTATACGTATTAGGCAAAAAAGCTCAAAATGGTCAGGAAAAAAGATGAAGTAAACCTTGAGCCCTGACTTAAGAATTTTTATTAAAAAAATTTTACCCAGAGCCAAAAACGATGTTTACAAACCTTTATAATAAAATTGTAAAGAGTAGAGTGAAGTTGATAAAAAGTAATATTCAAAAATTTATTTCCTCCTTCTGTCAAAATTTTGCATAAAATGTCCATACTTCTTTCTTCATTAATGAAATTAATATAAACACCACAATAATTAGAAACTAGAAAATTCCACATAAAATATAAAGAAGTATGGCAACGAAGAGTAAGTTCTGCCCCTTGTAAATGTATTTGTAAAGGAAAATTTGTTGTTTCATTCCCATAGTCAAACAATAAGTCAATCATTTGTGGATTAATTCGAATCATATCATGATTTTCATAATATTCGAAAGCACAATTAAAAATTAGTTTGAATAAATAACGAGCAATAGCCATTTCCTCTAGATTTTTTGGAAGCTTTGGCAATTTTATATAATATAATCCTGGAGAGAAAATTTTTCAAATGATTAAAAAATAATTTTTTTTAGTTTTTTGAAGTAAAGAACGGACTGGGAGGATCGTAAAAGGCATCTCGAAAAATCTTGAATATCAAAAAAATTTTCGGGATTTACAATTCTTATTAAAATTTAATTTATAATTATAGGTAAGACAGGTCCGTAACCAATAAAAATTTCGATGAGGAAAGATGTCAAATGAAAACTATTTTACAAAAAACTTATTCTCACTCGATTTTTAGGTAGAGACAAAAAATTTCCTTATTTTTTTTAAAATTGGATTATAAACTCAAATAATAAATTAACCTCTGTTCCACCCGTAAGTATCTTCTTTCAATTCACAAACAACTGTGTCTATGTTTCCATATCCATACTCAAATGATGTTAAAAACGTTGAAATTCCATTTTCTATTCCACGTATCCACTAAATTTTTGAGTTTATTTAAAATGTTAAAATTAAAAAAACCTTTTGTTCAAGTCTTTTACTTAATTTAAAATCATAAAGATGAGGAGGTATTTCAACAAAATTATTTTCCCCAAATTTAAGGTCAGAAATACGACACTAAAAATAATTATTATTAAAATAAATTCAAAACATTACAAATCCAAGCCACTTAAATTTCTTCCTCGCCAATTCCTTTCCATATTTATCAATAATATTTTTAAAATAAAAACTTGTTTGTTGGAAAGACAATAATTGATCAAAGTCGAGAAATTTGAACACATCCAGCAGATTTTCTTGTGGAAGGCTTAGTTTTTCAAGCTTTTTAGTTTTGATGTCAGCAGGCACATCGCCGCTTCTAATTGAAATTATCTGATACAATTGACCTTCCTAAATAATTTTTTTAAATTTAAACATAAAATTAAAAAAACCTCTAAATAATGTTTTATTCCCTCGTATTCAATAATTTTTCGATCCTCGGTCATTCTTCTAAAATAATTTTTAACTAAAATATAAATAGAAAAGTTGGCCTGTAAATCGTAAGAAATTAAAATAATTACAAAAAACATTAAGTATGCAAACAGAAATCATAACTTTTGAAAAAAAATTTAAAAAATCAATGTTTATTAAAAAGTCAAATTGAAGCAAAATTTTTAGAACAAATAAATAGAAAAATGGCACTTAATCGTTATGTCTCCCATCATTTTCTTTTACAATTTCCTTTTCCTCTTCTTCCCTAAAAGGTACAAACTTGTCAAAGGTACTGAAAACTTGAAAATCTGTAAATTTCGGCATAAATTGTAAAGTGAAGGCCTTTGACATTTTCGTACCATTTAAGAAGGAGAAAAGAAAATAAAAGAAAATGAGAGGATAAGTACATGTCACAGGTTACCCGAAACCCGGCCTCTTTTCGACCCGTTACCCGATCTGAGAAATTTTCTAACACCCGACTCGACTATTTACTTAACCCATGACGGGACCCAACGCGTCTCGACGAGCTGAATCGAACCATACCAGGGCGTATCCGCCTATTATGAACGAAGTTATAGCGCCGCGGTAAGTTGGGGTGTACCCACCCGTGACATCCCTTATAAGTACAAAAAAATAAATTACTAAAAAATATAAACCTCACATCAAGTCTAAATCAATCAATTCTCTTAATTACAGCGTCAAAATACGGCAGACGAGTACCTTGCAAATTAATATATTTGTCTTCATTTTCGTCAATTGATACAGAAAATTTAATTTTTGGATTGTAATTATTGACAAGTTGAAAATCCGTAAATTTCAATTTTTTGTAAGTTTGAATTTTGATATTTTCTGCTCCTTCGCTTGAATTTCTAAGTCCACACATATGTTCAAATTTAATTTCTTTCACCACTTGCGTAATTTTTTGTGACGTTTCTATATGCTAAAGTGAAAATTAAATTGTTTTTTAGACGATGAACGAGATGATACTTATATAACATATTATATAAGTTCCTAATAAAGCACATATCAAATAGAAAAGCTCGAAATGGTCAGGGAAACATGAAAAAAGGGAGGGGATTTACCAAAATACTACTCTGAGCTCTAAACTAAAAATTTTGCTAGGGCCCATAATATTGCCCATAACGGCATGTCCCAACCCCAGTTTATATCTACTAAGATTTCTAAGTTATTTTCCCCTCCCAGACAAAGAAAAATTATAATAGAAATGTACAAACCTTTATGATAAGATTGTAAAGTCTAGAGTCGAGATGTGAACAAGTAATATTTAAAAATTTGTTTCCGCCTTCAGTCAACATTTTGTACAAACCGAACACAAAAGTTTTAAATCTTGAGGTAGGGACTTGAGTTAAGTCATTAAATATATCAATGTCTTGGACGTTGTCATTAAACAGATAGTCTGTATCATATGCATGCATATCAACTCTAAGTCGATTAGAAACCAAATGATTCCAAACAAAGCAAGGATCGTTATTCCAAAGAAAAGGTAGCTTTGTGTTTTGAGAATGAACTTGTAAAGGAAAATTTGTTGTTTCATTTTCAACATCAAATAATAAGTCAATCATTTGTGGATTAAATAAAACCTGATGAATTTCAAAATATTCAAAAACACAATTAAAAAGTAGTTTGAATAAATAACGAGCAATAGCCATTTGTTCTAGATTTTTTGGAAATTTTGGCAGTTTTATAAGATATAATACTGAAAAAAATTTTTTTAATGATTAAAAAAAATTTTTTTAGCTAACAAGAGACCGGACTGGAAGGGGAAAAATTATGAACCTCGAAGATCCTTTAGATAAAGAAATCAAGGAGAGACTTATTAATTTTGAAAAATCTTGTTAAATTTTTATAAGCCTAAATAATAAATAAACCTTTCCCATTGTAATTTTGTTCCAATTCACAAATGACCGTGTCTATATCTCTATACTGAATGTGAGATGATGTTAAAAACGTTGGCATTTGCTCTTCAATTCCATGTATCCACTAAAATTTTTCGAGGTTATTTAAAAAAACATCAATTTAAAAAAACCTTTTGTTCAAGTTGTCTACTCAATTCAAAATCATAAAGATAAGGTTGTATTTCAACAAAATTAGGTTTAACAAAACGCTAAAAATAACAATTATTATTAAAATCAATTTAAGGGACAATATAGTAGTACGTGGGAATATATAATCATTTTTTCTAGAAGACAAAGATTCGCGGGAGCAGGCCAACTTACCGCGAGCCCAACTTACCGCAGAGCTATAACTTCGTTCAGAATTGCCGAATCCGGTACGCCTTTGTATGATTCGATGCGTCTCGACGAGCTGAATCGAACTATACCAGGGTGCCCCGGATTCGACAATTCTGAACGAAGTTATAGCTCTGCGATGAGTTGGGGTCGCGGTAAGTTGGGGTGTACCCAAGATTCGCAAAGATACAGACTCTTAAAACTGAAAAATCATAGGGGAAGCATTATGGGAAAAAACTCGGTTATGTTTTGCGGGGCACGTGTCGAACAAGAATCAACGGCTTAATCTAAGTTGGTGCGCCCATATACTATAGACACCCTTAATTGTCCGAAACCTTTTCATTAAGTTGTTTTTCAAATTTATGAAGATGAGGTTCTACTTCAAATTTACATTCAGCGAAGTTAAAGTCATTAAAAGGAAGCTAAAAAATAATTATTAAAATTAATTTAAAAATAAAAATACAAATCTAAGCGTAGAAAATTTCTTCCTCGCCAATTCCTTTCCATATTTGTCAATAATATTTTTGAAATAAAAACTTGTTTGTTGGAAAGACAATAATTGATTGAAGTCGAGAAATTTGAACACATCCAGTAGATTTTCTTGAGGAAGGCTTATTTGAATACACTTTTTAAGTTTTTTGATGTCAACAGGCACTTTAACTCTTCCAATTGGAACCAATTTATACAATTGATCTTCCTAAAATATTTTTTTAAATCTAAACATAAAAGTATAAAAAACCTCCAAATAATATTTAGTTCCTTTAAATTCAATTATTTTTCCATTCTCGCTCATTCTTATAAAATAAGTTGACTAAAAATTAATGGAAAATTTGGCCTGTGAATTTAATAAAAATGAGACGTTTTACTGAAAATAATTAAAAATAGTTTTAAAAAATAATTAAATATGTATACAGAATTAAAACTTTAAAAGAAAGAAATTAAAATTAAAAAAATGTTTATCAAAAAAAGTCAAATCAAAGCAAAAAAATTTTTAACAAAATGAAGAAAAAATAAATTAAACTACATGCGTGAGGTAAAGAATGATTGGCAGTAAAAAAGGAAAATTATTCCGAGACTCAAATAAGGAGGGAGGGCCGGATATTAAAAAAGTATACCCTAAGCTATATACCAGGGATCCTGCCGTCCCGATTCCAGAAAATCGCGAATTCCCGAAGTTTTTTGGGTCGGGATCCCGATTTCCCGAAATCGGGAATTTTGTTTTTTTATCGGCTAGATCTCTGATATACACTAGATATCAGCACGGGACGGGATCCCGCACGAGATTTTACGAGATCCCGTCTCGGAATCCCGGATTTTGAGCGAAAAACGGGGTTACCGGGATTTACGAGATTAATCCCTCGCAACCCGTCCCGTACAAAATGTTGAAAAAAATCTCGTTTACAGGATTCCGGGAATGCGTCTCCGATATACACCTAACAATTAAGTCTAGATAAATAAGTTTATATCAATCAATTCTTTTAATCAAAATGTTAAATGATGGCACAAGATTACCTTCAATATTAGTGATTTTTACTTTCCTTTCTTTAATTCTTACGGAAAATTTGATTTCTGGATTGTGTTTATTGGAAAGTTGAAAAGTTGTAAATTTGAAGTCATTGTAAATTTCGATTTTAGTATTTTCCGCTTTTTTACTTGAATTTAGAGGCCCATGCATAACATAAAATATAATTTTCTTTCCCATTTCAGAAATGAATTGTGACGTTTCTATATGCTAAAATCAAAGTAAATTTTAGGTTTTCGTTGATTAATTTCAGTGGCTTTCGATTGGCCTCACTTCAAACGAAATAAATTTAAAAATTCCCAGAACAAAAAATGGACCATTTTGAGTCCAATAACGCTTAAACCTATAATTTACTATAAATATATGTCGCAGCCTAACTTAATAAGAATGTACAAACCGGTAATATTCAATTTCGTTCCCCCCTCCTTTTTTCCATCCTCAAAGTATTAAAAAATGGTCAGTCAGACTTAAGTTATAGAACTCGTCGAGCTGAGTCGAATGACACCAAAATCAAAAAAATTCGACCTGATTTGACCGAAATACAGACCCCTGAAAATTGAACAACCACAGGGGCGATTTTTTGAAATAAAAAAATTTACACAAATGATAGCTCATTTGAAAGAGCTCATCGAGCTGAGTCAAATGACACCAAAATCAATGTAAACGGACGAGTTTAGACAAAGTTATGGCATTATTTAGACCTACCGGAGTCGGAAACATTATGTCATATCTTCGTCAAATCAAGTCGGATCACGTCGATTTCGGTGTCATTCGACTCAGCTCGTCGAGCTCTTTCGAATGAGCTATCATTTGTATACTTTTTCGTCCTTTTGGTTTTTCGCCCCTGTGGTTGTTCAATTTTCAGGGGTCTGTATTTCGGTCAAATAAAGTTGGATTTTTTTGATTTTGGTGTCATTCGACTCAGCTCGACGAGTTCTATAACTTATGTCTGACTGACCATTTTTTAATACTTTGAGGATGGAAAAAAGGAGGGGGGGGGGAACGAAATTGAATATTACCTACAAACCTCTATCATAGAATCATAAAATATAGAGCTGATATTACGTGCATAAGAAATAACGGAAAATCTATTTCCTCCATTTGCCAAAATTTTAAATAAAGGATTGAAATTTTTTGATAAATCGATAGGTCTATCAATCTCAACGTCAAGCTGATTTGAAATCAGATGATTCGAAATAAACTTTATAGCATTGTCTTCAAAAACAAGTATTCTTGCACATTGAGAATGCATTTGTAAAGGAAAATCTGTTGTTGTTTCATCAAACAATAATTCAATCATTTGTGGGTTAATTATAAAATGAAAACTTCCAAACAATTCGAAAGCACAATTAAAAAGTAGTTTTAAGAAATATCGAGCAATTGCCATTTGCTCTAGATTTTTTGGAATCCTTGACAATTTTATATGATATAATTCCCCTAAAAAGATTCTTTGGGTCAAACTCGAAATTTTATTTTCCGAATAGAGCTTATTAATATTTAACCTCTTTTCCCTTTGTAATTATGTTCTTTCAATTCACAAACAATTGTGTTTATGTTTCCATACCGAGACGATATTAAAAACATTGGAACTTGCTCTTCTATTCCACGTATCCGCTGAAATTTTTGAGGTTACTTAAAATGTTAAAATTAAAAAAAAAAACCTTTTGTTCAAGTTGTTTAGTCAATTCAAAGTAATAAAGATGAGGAGGTATTTCAACAAAATTTTGTTCGCCCAATTTAAAGTCAGAAATAGGACCCTAAAAATAATAATAATTATTATTAAAATCATTTGGTGCTATGCGTTTATACTCTCCTTTTTATCTCCCTGCTTCTGCTTTTTCAAATACATTACAAAATGGTCAAAGTCAAATAAAGTAAGGCTTAAATTGCCGTACCATCTCTAATAAGATGGCCAGACATTTTTCAATCATTACAATCCCGTTAAAATGGGTCATCCAAGTGGAGAGAGCCATTCCAAACTTTATTTATACCCCAAATGCTATTCTATTGAGGAAGGCATTCAAATTAAGGGGACATTCTTAGAGACAATACGGCAATTTTATCCTAACTTTATTTCCCTTCAAAAATTTTGTATAAATTTTTGAGAAAGGAGACTACGAGAAGAAAAGGAAAAGATAAACGCATAGTACCAAAAAAATTATAAATCAATACAAATTTAAGCTTTTCAAATTTCTTCCTAGCCAATTCCTTTCCATATTTCTCAATAATACTTTTGAAATAAAAACTTGTTTGTTGAAAAGACAATAATTGATCAAAGTCAAGAAATTTGAACACATCAAGTAAATTCTCTTGTGGAAGGCTTATTTGTATACGCTTTTTAGGTTTAATTTCAACAGGCACCTTGTCGTTTCTAATTGGAGTCATCTGATACCATTGACCTTCCTGGAAAATTTTGTTACTATTATCTCCCCAGCATGTATGCAAATGCCTTGTCCGCAAAATTTTGTATCTTCCGTCTCCTTGCCAGAACTAAGTTTTGTGACCTGGCATAATTTGGAGTGACGTCTGATAGTTTTGTGAACTCTTCTTTCCCCATATGAAAAAGGGAAGGAAGAAAAAATTTGCGACAAGCTGGGAGAGTAGTACTAGTACTGTTCTGTTTATTTAAAAATAAAATTATAAAAAACCTCTAAATAATATTTAATTCCTTCATATTCAATAATTGTTTGATCCTCGCTCATTCTTGTAAAATAATTTAACTATAATATAAATTTGAAAATTTGACCTAAAAATTGGAAGAAATTAAAATAATTAAAAAATATGCATACAGAAATCACAACTTTAAACAAAGAAAAAAATTTTTTTTAATAAATTTATCAAAAAAACGTCAACTTAAAACAAAAATTTTGGTAAAAGTCTCGGGTTTCTATTTCCCCTCCCCCTTTCTTTCATCCCTCCTAAAAATTCCTTTAGTTTGCTACATGATTCAAGGTACCTAAATGATCCCATGTTGTTAGCGCAAAGCCGGATATAAAAGGTACGCGGACATATCGGTACGGACATATCGGGGTACTTTAATGTACAACAGTTGCTCTACTGATTTTGAGACCACACGTCACTGGGTCTTGGATAGTATATTGTCCTAATAAAGAATAACCATATAAAAACTGAAATTAAAAAAAGGGGGCATACAAACCCGACTTTTACCCAAAATCTTTAAAAATAAAAAAAAAATAAATTAAATTGACCTAACAATTAAGTCTATATTCAGTTAATTCTTTTAATTGTTGCATTAAATGCTACCTCAACATTTTTATACTTAACATCTTCACCATTAAATTCGTCGTTTTCAGGTTCTTTAGCAGTTACAGAAAATTTAATTTTTGGATTGTGTTTATTGAAAATTTGAAATTTTGTAGTTTTACCATCAATTTTAATATTTTCAACTGTCTCACTTGGAATTTTAGATCCAAATATACATTCAAATTTAATTTGCTTTACCATTTCAGAAATGAATTGTGATGTTTCAATGTGCTAAAATAAATTATCTAAATTTTTTTTTCAAAAATCCTTATTCGATTATAATGTAAAGACTGACAATTCTGTACAAAAAGCGGACAGGGGGACGGCCAATAAAGTACCAATAAAATATCCGAAAATCACGGGAAACAAAAAATTTACCATTTTGAACCATAACAATTTTTATAGAAAACAGATCGCGCCCCAGAACCAAAAGGGGTATCCAAAGGAGTCGATTTCAAAAGGGTAAAATGGGATGTGCGCCAAATTTTTGGTGAACGGCACAGTTATGACCGAGGGTTGTACGAAGGAAGACGTGCAAAAAATTAACAGTTTATCCAAAGAGCTATGTAAAATGTGTAGGCGAAGGGATTTGGCTGGAAACAGACGAAGGAGATCAGGGACTAGCCGGGCTAGTATGATCCGATTAGACTGAACTGACACTTACAGTGGCTTCTATAGTAGTGTCACCAATACACAACAGGAACGCTAATTTTTTGTTATATATTCCTGCCACAGTTTACCAAAAAATAAAAAAATGTGCAAACCTTTATAATAGGATTGTAAAGTTTACCGGCAACGCATAAATAAGTAATATTCAAAAATTTATTTCCTCCTTGTGTCAAAATTTTCAATAAAACGTCCATATTTTCGTCCTCGTAAAGGATACAATTAACAATTCTAACTTGATTACAAATCAAATGATTCCAAATAAAATTAAAAGAAAAATGATCCCGCGTATAAAAGTTTGCCTTTTGAGAATGTATTTGTAAAGGCAGATTTGTTGCTTCATCAAACAATAATTGAATCATTTGTGGATTAATTATAGTCCGACTAATTTCAAAATATTCAAAAGCACAATTAAAAATTAATTTGAATAAATATCGAGCAATAGCCATTTCCTCTAGATTTTGTGGAAATTTTGACAATTTTATATGATATAATGCTGAATAAAAAAATTTTTTAGATTAAAAAATTTTTTTATAATTAAGGTTTGAATTTCCTCAAATACATTGAATTTCCGGTAATTTTTTACCAGAAATCTTTTTCAAAAATTTTTTGTCAAAAAAATTTTTGAATTTTGGCATATTTTTACTAAAATAGTAGAGACCAGCAAAATTGTATTTGCGGGATCCCGCATGCGGAAGTCCTTAAAAAGAGTGCGGAACTCATCCGAAAATATTCCCGCAAAATTCCGCACTCCCGTACCGCGCCGGTCTATAATAAGCTCAAATAATAAATTATAACCTTTTTTCCCTTTGTTATTTTGTTCCAATTCACAAACAACAGTGTCTACATCTTTATAACCAGAACGTATTAAAAACATTGGAATTGACTCTTCTATTCCACGTATCCACTAAAATTAAAATTTATTTTTAAATTAAAATTTAAAAAAAACCTTTTTCTTAAGCTGTTTACTTAATTCAAAATCATAAAGATGAGGCTCTTCTATTTTAACAAATTCACCATTTTCACATTTGGAAAGCTAAAAAATAATAATTATTAAAATTAATTTTAAAAAATCAAAAATACAAATTCAAGCCTTGCAAATTTCTTCCTAGCCAATTCCTTTCCATATTTATCAACAATATTTTTGAAATAAAAACTTGTTTGTTGGAAAGACAATAATTGATCAAAGTCGAGAAATTTGAATACATCCAATAAATTTTCTGATGGAAGGTTTATTTGTATACCCTTTTTAGTTTTGATGTCAGCAGACAACTTGTCGTTTTCAAGTGGAGTCATTTGATACCATTGACCGTCCTAAAAATTTATGTTACTATGGAAATACTTCCCCGCATGTATGCTATTGTCTTGTCCGCAAATTTTCGTCGTTTCCGTCGCCTTGTCAGAACCGAGTTTTACTAGGTCGTTTCATAAAAAGTCGCTTTTTATCAAAACAATATTTGGAGTGATGTCTGGTAGTTTTGTGAACTTTTCTTCCCTATATGAGAGAAAAAGGAAAGGCAGGAAAAAAAATTTGCGGACACACACTTGCGGACACGCCGGGAGATAATCAACAGCTTATATTTTATAAAAAAAACATAAAATTATAAAAAACCTCCAAATAATATTTAATTCCCTCGTATTCAATAATTTTTTGATCCTCGCTCATTCTTATAAAATAATTTGACTAAAATATAAATTAGAAAAATTTGGCCTAAAAATTGGAAGAAATAATTAAAATATAATTTAAAAAATAAATATAAAGAAATCATAACTTTAAACAAAAAAAAACAAAAATTTTAAAAATATATTTATCAAAAAACTCAAATTAAAGCAAAAATTTTGGTTTAAGTCTCGGTTTTGTATGTCCCCTCACCCTTTTCCCTATTTTCCCATTTCTTCTAAATTTCCTTCCATTTGCTACATGATTCAAATTCAAGATCCTATGCCGTGTCAGCTTCAACAATTGGGGGACATATGCCAGAGGTTGGTCGGAATTCTGATTTCGAAAAAAATTTTGATTTCCGAGTTCCGACTTTTGAGCAAGTTCCGATTTCCTGCTCCTACGATTTCCGACACTTCTGACTGTTTCCAACCACCTCTGATCTATGCCAACGTTGGGTTGCACAGCTCCCACCTCCTCTTAGTGATAGGCTAACTTATTCTCTATAAAATCTTTTTTGGGAATAGAAGGCCCTACAAACCTAGGGGTGTGGAATACACACATACAACATTCGAAATTATTTCCAAAATTCAGAGACGGAGAATTATCGATTTTTAAATAAATTGAAAAAAGGGGGAAGAGAGACATACAAAACCGACTTTTTACCCAAATATTTTAATTAAAAATAAATGAAAAATTAATTAAACCTCATACATAGCAATTAAATCCATAAATAAATTTATCTCAATTAAATTCTTTCAATTACAGCATCAATTATCACGAGATAATTTTCCTCATATTCATCTTCTTCAATATAAACAGAAAATTTAATTTTTGGATTGTGTTTATTGACAAGTTCGAAATATTGTTCTTTGTAAATTTCGATATTTTCTTCTCCTTCATTTAAAATTTCGATATTTTCTTCTCTTTCATTTAAAATTCGAGGTCCAAACATATTTTTAAATTTAATTTCTTTGACTGTTTTAGTAATGTCTTTTGAAGTTTCAAGGTGCTAAAATTTCCGATTAATTAAAAAATATCTTCGAAAAACGTAGTCACAACTAAACTGACCATTTTGAGCCCTGATAATTTTTATTGAAAACAAACTAAAAAAATTTTTCCGGTGCAATAAGCGACGTGTCCCTATTCCTATTTTACGAGGAAAAACCTCGCGAACTATGATCGAAAAATTTTTTAGATAAAAATTACACTTTTGCGCCAATTTTTGGTTTTCTTCCCCTAAACCCCCTAGTTCGAAAAATTAAAAAAATGTCCAAACCTTTATAATCAAATTGTAGAGGTTAGTGTGAATTTTATCCAAAGTAAGGCTTAAAATTTTATTTCCTCCTTGTGTCAAAATTTTCAATAAAACAGCCATGTTTTCTTTCCCAAAGCAGGCAAACCTATCAAATTTTAATTGATTAGAAAACAAATGTTTCCAAATAAAGTTTGAGGAATCAGTATTCCAAATATAATCTAGTTCTGTCTTTTGAGAATGTATTTGTAAAGGAAAATTTGTTGTTGCTTCATCAAAAAGTAATTGAATCATTTGTGAATTAATTAAAAACATATCAATTTCAAAATGTTCAAAAGCACAATTAAAAAGTAGCTTGAATAAATAACGAGCAATAGCCATTAACTCAAGATTTTTTGGAAAGTTTGGCAATTTTATATGATACAGTGCTGGAAATAAAAAAATTTTATTTTAAAATAATTTTATTTTTAGTTAAGGTTTGAAGTAGCGACTGAAGAGTCATACGAAAAAATCTCAAAAAAATTTTCAAGACTCTTAAGACAATTAATTTATCATTAGGGAAATAAAAAAATCAAGGAGGGATTAAATAGCTCAATCCGCACAATAACCTCTTAATCCCACTGTCCCTCAAACCCTCCTAATCCTATGATATCGCCGAGTGAAAACTTTCTTTTGAACAAAATTTTTATAAATGGAAACCCCAAAAAATTTCAAATCCCCAAAAAATATAGGTTAACCTTTTTTCCCTCTATAATTTGACTGCAATTCACAAACAATCGCGTTTGTGTTATACTGAATCGTTGTTAAAAACGTTGGAATTTCCTCTTCTATTCCACGTATCCACTAAAATTTTTTTGAGGTTATTTTTAAAAAACTTCAGTTTAAAAAAACCTTTTGTTCAAGTTGTTTACTCAATTCAAAATCATAAAGATGAGGCTGTATTTCAACGAATTTATGTTTACCCAAATCAAAACCATAAATTGGACGCTAAAAATGGTAGTAATTAGTGTTAATGATTTATACTCGATTTTTTCAACATTGGAGCCAAGGGCGTATCCAGGGGCTAAAGCCCACCACCCTATCCCGAAATGGCGTTAAGGTGGCTAAAAAGTGGGTGCCCAAGTCAGCCCATAAACAAAAAACCCCCAAAAATCGATTAAAATAAATTATAAAAAATACAAATTTAAGCTTTGTAAATTTCTTCCTCGCCAATTCCTTCTCGTATTTCTCAATGATATTTTTGAAATAAAAACTTGAGTGTTGAAAAGACAATAATTGATTGAAGTCAAGAAATTTGAACACATCCAGCAAATTTTCTTGAGGAAGGCTTATTTGAATACGCCTTTTAGATTTCATGTCAACAGGCATTTTGCCTCTTCCACTTGAAGTCATCTTCTGATACCATTGACTTTCCTACAAAAATCATGGGTATTTTTTAATTTAAAAAGAAACCTTTTTATAATATTTCACTCCATCGTATTCAATAATTTTTCGATCCTCGCTCATTCTTATAAAATAAGTTGAAAATTTGGTTTGTAAATTTAATAGAAATTGGTTGAAAATAATTTTAAAAAATTAAAATAAATCATCAAATATCTATAAAGAAATTATAACTTGAAATTAAATCAATAAAAAAAATTTTTATTTGATTTTTATAATGAAAAAGAAAAATTTAAAAAATAGGTTTTTCATAAAAATTTGCTTAAAGCTTGAAAATAAAAATGCTTTAAAATTGTAATCTAAATGTAAAAAATATACAAGAAAACTAGCTATATAAAGAATTTGAATTTAAAGAGATCAGAACGACAATTATGGACGAATTATCTTATTATAATTAAAGGTTACCCCAGCTCCATCCCGTGACCTCAATAGCACAGGCTCTCCAACAACATTAATTATAGATTCGAACTCGCCCCGTGTAAACCCTAACAACACTAGATAAACTCTAAAACGTTCTGATCTCTTTCCTTGTATAAAAAACATAAAAAATAAACCTATAATCAAAAAATTCGTTTTAAAAATGAGATTTTCGTCCAGCAAAAACAGGAATTAAGTAAAAAATCATCCTTGTTACAAATAATTATGCCCAAATCTAAAAAATAATTTGAATACAAAAATTTCTAAACTCAAAAATAAACCTTAAGGAAAGAATCCCATGAAGCAGTGCATATAGCTGTCCCATCCGGAGATGTTCTCAAACAAGAAATACGATTTTCATGTCCATACAAAACATGGGCTCGAACACATTTGAGTGTATCCCAAACAGAAATTCGATAATCACCATAGCCAGCAAATAATAGGCGACCTTTATTTTTGAATTTTTTTAAATAATTAAAAAATTATTTTTAAAAAATTACCGCTAACAGAAAAGTCAACACCATTTACCTAAAAAAATTTTAAACGAAAAAATTTTTTCAGAAAAACAAACCGGGAAGAAAATTGATTCTTTTTGGTAAACAGCAACTTGACGATCAGCGCGAATGTCGTAGAGACGGCACTAAAAAAATTTGTGGAATGACAACCTTTTAATAAAATTTTAAAAAGTGATTCAAGCACGGAAAGTAATTTTCGCGTTTAAAATATTATAGTCACAAAACTATGGAGTTTGGTTAAGTGAGAAATTTTTACGTTTGTAGCGGATGAAGGGTCGTGGGTTCGAACCCACTCAGGTAAAACTTAATTTTTAAAAATGATTCAGGCATGTGAAGCTACATTGCCAATATTACTGACAAAGAACCAAAAAATTTATTTAAGTGGGAAAAGTTTAAGTTTGTGGGGGGTGATAGGTCATGGGTTCGAACCCGCTCAGGGAAAAATATTTTTTTATTTTTTTATACCGAAGCATCATCAGATCCAGTAGCAAAAGCATCTCCATTTGGATGAAATCGAATAGTATTAATATCTTCTTCGTGACCATCAAAGCTTTGAACACACTGTCCTGAGCGAATATCCCATACAAGTGCGTGTTTATCAGCACCCTAAATTAATTTTTAAAAAATAAAATCCAAAAAATACCCCAGAAATAAAAATATTTCCCATATCAGATTTGGCAATGTCAACGGCAAAAACTTGAAGAAAAAATTTTTTGACCAAAAAAATTTCAATAAAAAACCATCGCCTAAATGACCATGGAAATTTTGAATCATTTGACCACTTTCAACGTCCCACTAAAAAAATAAATTTTAAGAGAAAAAATATTTTTTAAAATTAACCATAGCACAAGTTGAGTCACCACTACCAGTTAATAACTTTAAAAAAAAAGAATTTTTTTAATTATTGAAAGGAGGATCCTAATGGGTTGTCTATTGCTAGTTAGACGGTTACAAGTCAGATTCCCCAAACAACGAGTCAAATTCCCCTCGGTGAGTACCTATACGCAATAAGCCTAGCTATTAGCAATAACTGAGAAGAGGCTGGTGTCTTCAAATAAAATTTTAAAAAATTCAAAAAAATGTCTGCCGTTAAAAAATTCAAAAATCTGGTTAAGTGGGAAACCTTTAGGTTTGTGGAAGCTGAGGTCATGGGTTCGAACCCGCTTCAGGTAAAACCTCAATTTTTTAAAAAAATATTCTTGAAAACCCATCAGAAATATGAAATTATCAAGAAAGGACCAAGAAAAATTTAAAATCTAACCAGATTATCCGACCGAATAAAAGTACAACAACTCATATAACTCGTATGAGTGGCCACAGATCTCTTCTTTTGGATTATATCTTCTTCAAAGTTGAGAGGTATGACAGAACATTTATTGTCCAGACCACCACAAGCAATCATCTGCATACTTGGGGCAAAAGCGCAAGCCATGACCTTAATAAAATTTTTATAAGGGGCAAAACACCGTCCGACCAAAATACCGTCAGGACTAGATGGGGAAAAGTATCGTCTAACCGAACAAATAATAAATTCGATTAGCGTCAACAAAATGTGCTCCCAATATTTTTAGACACATTGGCTAACAACTCTTGATTGGTACTATCCTCTAAGGTCAAAAACAAATTTTATAAAAAAAACTGTCTACACTAAACGATATAAACGGTAACTTTTGGTTGGACGGTGTTTTGTCCTCTCATAACTAAAAAATCATACCCATGTTGTAGGCATAGTGACTGAAATCTGAAATCCAGGTTTCAGTCCCAGACTGAAATCCAGGTTTCAGTCCCAAACTTTCAGTCTGGAGCTGAAACCTTGTACAGGTAATCAATCAAATTAATTACCTGTCACCCATCAATCAAACACTTGTACCTTGTACAAGTACAAGGTACAAGTACCTTGTACTTGTACCTGTCAATCAAATCTGACACACCGGGAACCTGAAAGTATCCCCACACCCTTTGGTTTCCTTTGTTTGCCGTTCACCCACCCAAATGTTGCACGTTGTGCAACATTTGGGTGGTTCCCAAATGTTGCACGTTGTGCAACATTTGGGTGGTATCGTGTCCTATCAATCAAAATTGACAACTCGGACAAATGGGATGAGTAATTACCCCAAACCCCCTGGTTTCCCTTTGATCATGCCGACAAACTCGGACAAATGGGATGAGTAATTGCCCCAAACCCTTTGGTTTCCTTTGATCTTGCCGTCAAATTGATGAGGATGGGTCCGGGAAACCCCCTACACCCTTGGGTTTCCCTTTGATGTTTCAAAATTCCGCCTCCCATTTGTTGCACACCTGTGCAACAAATGGGGGGGGGGGGGGGTAACTACTCTTACAATATTTATACATATTAAGCAAAAAAGCTCAAAATGGTCAGGAAAAAAGATGAAGTAAACCTTGAGCCCTGACTTAAGAATTTTTATTAAAAAAATTTTACCCAGAGCCAAAAACGATGTTTACAAACCTTTATAATAAAATTGTAAAGAGTAGAGTGAAGTTGATAAAAAGTAATATTCAAAAATTTATTTCCTCCTTCTGTCAAAATTTTGCATAAAATGTCCATACTTCTTTCTTCATTAATGAAATTAATATAAACACCACAATAATTAGAAACTAGAAAATTCCACATAAAATATAAAGAAGTATGGCAACGAAGAGTAAGTTCTGCCCCTTGTAAATGTATTTGTAAAGGAAAATTTGTTGTTTCATTCCCATAGTCAAACAATAAGTCAATCATTTGTGGATTAATTCGAATCATATCATGATTTTCATAATATTCGAAAGCACAATTAAAAATTAGTTTGAATAAATAACGAGCAATAGCCATTTCCTCTAGATTTTTTGGAAGCTTTGGCAATTTTATATAATATAATCCTGGAGAGAAAATTTTTCAAATGATTAAAAAATAATTTTTTTTAGTTTTTTGAAGTAAAGAACGGACTGGGAGGGTCGTAAAAGGCATCTCGAAAAATCCTGAATATCAAAAAAATTTTCGGGATTTACAATTCTTATTAAAATTTAATTTATAATTATAGGTAAGACAGGTCCGTAACCAATAAAAATTTCGATGAGGAAAGATGTCAAATGAAAACTATTTTACAAAAAACTTATTCTCACTCGATTTTTAGGTAGAGACAAAAAATTTCCTTATTTTTTTTAAAATTGGATTATAAACTCAAATAATAAATTAACCTCTGTTCCACCCGTAAGTATCTTCTTTCAATTCACAAACAACTGTGTCTATGTTTCCATATCCATACTCAACTGATGTTAAAAACGTTGAAATTCCATTTTCTATTCCACGTATCCACTAAATTTTTGAGTTTATTTAAAATGTTAAAATTAAAAAAAACCTTTTGTTCAAGTCTTTTACTTAATTTAAAATCATAAAGATGAGGAGGTATTTCAACAAAATTATTTTCCCCCCATTTAAGGTCAGAAATACAACACTAAAAAATTATAATTATTAAAATAAATTCAAAACATTACAAATCCAAGCCACTTAAATTTCTTCCTAGCGAATTCCTTCCCATATTTATCAACAATATTTTTGAAATAAAAACTTGTTTGTTGGAAAGACAATAATTGATCAAAATCAAGAAATTTGAACACATCAAGCAGATTTTCTTGTGGAAGGCTTAGTTTTTCAAGCTTTTTAGTTTTGATGTCAGCAGGCACATCGCCGCTTCTAATTGAAATTATCTGATACAATTGACCTTCCTAAATAATTTTTTTAAATTTAAACATAAAATTAAAAAAACCTCTAAATAATGTTTTATTCCCTCGTATTCAATAATTTTTCGATCCTCGGTCATTCTTCTAAAATAATTTTTAACTAAAATATAAATAGAAAAGTTGGCCTGTAAATCGTAAGAAATTAAAATAATTACAAAAAACATTAAGTATGCAAACAGAAATCATAACTTTTGAAAAAAAAATTTCAAAAATCAATGTTTATTAAAAAGTCAAATTGAAGCAAAATTTTTAGAACAAATAAATAGAAAAATGGCACTTAATCGTTATGTCTCCCATCATTTTCTTTTACAATTTCCTTTTCCTCTTCTTCCCTAAAAGGTACAAACTTGTCAAATGTACTGAAAACTTGAAAATCTGTAAATTTCGGCATAAATTGTAAAGTGAAGGCCTTTGACATTTTCGTACCATTTAAGAAGGAGAAAAGAAAATAAAAGAAAATGAGAGGATAAGTACATGTCACAGGTTACCCGAAACCCGGCCTCTTTTCGACCCGTTACCCGATCTGAGAAATTTTCTAACACCCGACTCGACTATTTACTTAACCCATGACGGGACCCAACGCGTCTCGACGAGCTGAATCGAACCATACCAGGGCGTATCCGCCTATTATGAACGAAGTTATAGCGCCGCGGTAAGTTGGGGTGTACCCACCCGTGACATCCCTTATAAGTACAAAAAAATAAATTACTAAAAAATATAAACCTCACATCAAGTCTAAATCAATCAATTCTCTTAATTACAGCGTCAAAATATGGCAGACGAGTACCTTGCAAATTAATATATTTGTCTTCATTTTCGTCAATTGATACAGAAAATTTAATTTTTGGATTGTAATTATTGACAAGTTGAAAATCCGTAAATTTCAATTTTTTGTAAGTTTGAATTTTGATATTTTCTGCTCCTTCGCTTGAATTTCTAAGTCCACACATATGTTCAAATTTAATTTCTTTCACCACTTGCGTAAATTTTTGTGACGTTTCTATATGCTAAAGTGAAAATTAAATTGTTTTTTAGACGATGAACGAGATGATACTTATATAACATATTATATAAGTTCCTAATAAAGCACATATCAAATAGAAAAGCTCTAAATGGTCAGGGAAACATGAAAAAAGGGAGGGGATTTACCAAAATACTACTCTGAACTCTAAACTAAAAATTTTGCTAGGGCCCATTATATTGCCCATAACGACATGTCCCAATCCCAGTTTATATCTACTAAGATTTCTAAGTTATTTTCCCCTCCCAGACAAAGAAAAATTATAATAGAAATGTACAAACCTTTATGATAAGATTGTAAAGTCTAGAGTCGAGATGTGAACAAGTAATATTTAAAAATTTGTTTCCGCCTTCAGTCAACATTTTGTACAAACCGAACACAAAAGTTTTAAATCTTGAGGTAGGGACTTGAGTTAAGTCATTAAATATATCAATGTCTTGGACGTTGTCATTAAACAGATAGTCTGTATCATATGCATGCATATCAACTCTAAGTCGATTAGAAACCAAATGATTCCAAACAAAGCAAGGATCGTTATTCCAAAGAAAAGGTAGCTTTGTGTTTTGAGAATGAACTTGTAAAGGAAAATTTGTTGTTTCATTTTCAACATCAAATAATAAGTCAATCATTTGTGGATTAAATAAAACCTGATGAATTTCAAAATATTCAAAAACACAATTAAAAAGTAGTTTGAATAAATAACGAGCAATTGCCATTTGTTCTAGATTTTTTGGAAATTTTGGCAGTTTTATAAGATATAATACTGAAAAAATTTTTTTTAATGATTAAAAAAATTTTTTTAGCTAACAAGAGACCGGACTGGAAGGGGAAAAATTATGAACCTCGAAGATCCTTTAGATAAAGAAATCAAGGAAAGACTTATTAATTTTGAAAAATCTTGTTAAATTTTTATAAGCCCAAATAATAAATAAACCTTCTTTCCCATTGTAATTTTGTTCAAATTCACAAATGACCGTGTCTATGTCTCTATACTGAAATGATGTTAAAAACGTTGGCATTTGCTCTTCAATTACAGCTATCCACTAAAATTTTTCAAGGTTATTTAAAAAAACATCAATTTAAAAAAACCTTATGTTCAAGTTGTCTACTCAATTCAAAATCATAAAGATAAGGTTGTATTTCAACAAAATTAGGTTTAACAAAACGCTAAAAATAACAATTATTATTAAAATCAATTTAAGGGACAATATAGTACGTGGGAATATATAATCATTTTTTCTAGAAGACAAAGATTCGCGGGAGCAGGCCAACTTACCGCGAGCCCAACTTACCGCAGAGCTATAACTTCGTTCAGAATTGCCGAATCCGGTACGCCTTTGTATGATTCGATGCGTCTCGACGAGCTGAATCGAACTATACCAGGGTGCCCCGGATTCGACAATTCTGAACGAAGTTATAGCTCTGCGATGAGTTGGGGTCGCGGTAAGTTGGGGTGTACCCAAGATTCGCAAAGATACAGACTCTTAAAACTGAAAAATCATAGGGGAAGCATTATGGGAAAAAACTCGGTTATGTTTTGCGGGGCACGCGTCGAGCAAGAATCAACGGCTTAATCTAAGTTGGTGCGCCCATATACTATAGACACCCTTAATTGTCCGAAACCTTTTCATTAAGTTGTTTTTCAAATTTATGATGAGGTTCTACTTCAAATTTACGTTCAGCGAAGTTAAAGTCATTAAAAGGAAGCTAAAAAATAATTATTAAAATTAATTTAAAAATAAAAATACAAATCTAAGCGTAGAAAATTTCTTCCTCGCCAATTCCTTTCCATATTTATCAATAATATTTTTAAAATAAAAACTTGTTTGTTGGAAAGATAATAATTGATCAAAGTCGAGAAATTTGAATACATCAAGTAGATTCTCTTGAGGAAGGCTTATTTGAATACGCCTTTTAGCCTTTTTGGTATCAGCAGGCACCTTGTCGTTTCTAATTGGAGTCATCTGATACCATTGACCTTCCTAAATAATTTTTTAATTTAAAAATAAAATTATAAAAAAACCTCTAAATAATATTTAATTCCTTTGAATTCAATAATTTTCCGATCCTCGCTCATTCTTGTAAAATACTTTTTAATTAAAATATAAGTTAGAAAATTTGGCCTAAAAATTGAAAGAAATAATTAAATTAAATAAATATGTATACAGAAATTATAACTTTAAACAAAAAGGAAAAATTTTTTTTAAATTTATCAAAAAAAAAACGTCAACTTAAAACAAAAATTTTGGTAAAAGTCTCGGGTTTCTATTTCCCCTCCCCCTTTCTTTCATCCCTCCTAAAAATTCCTTTAGTTTGCTACATGATTCAAATTACCTAAATGATCCCATGTTGTTAGCGCAAAGCCGGATATAAAAGGTACGCGGACATATCGGTACGGACATATCGGGGTACTTCAATGTACAACAGTTGCTCTACTGATTTTGAGACCACGCGTCACTGGGTCTTGGATAGTATATTGTCCTAATAATAACCATATAAAAACTGAAATTAAAAAAAGGGGGCATACAAACCCGACTTTTACCCAAAATCTTTAAAAATAAAAAAAAAATAAATTAAATTGACCTAACAATTAAGTCTATATTCAGTTAATTCTTTTAATTGTTGCATTAAATGCTACCTCAACATTTTTATACTTAACATCTTCACCATTAAATTCGTCGTTTTCAGGTTCTTTAGCAGTTACAGAAAATTTAATTTTTGGATTGTGTTTATTGAAAATTTGAAATTTTGTAGTTTTACCATCAATTTTAATATTTTCAACTGTCTCACTTGGAATTTTAGATCCAAATATACATTCAAATTTAATTTGCTTTACCATTTCAGAAATGAATTGTGATGTTTCAATGTGCTAAAATAAATTATCTAAATTTTTTTTCAAAAATCCTTATTCGATTATAATGTAAAGACTGACAATTCTGTACAAAAAGCGGACAGGGGGACGGCCAATAAAGTACCAATAAAATATCCGAAAATCACGGGAAACAAAAAATTTACCATTTTGAACCATAACAATTTTTATAGAAAACAGATCGCGCCCCAGAACCAAAAGGGGTATCCAAAGGAGTCGATTTCAAAAGGGTAAAATGGGATGTGCGCCAAATTTTTGGTGTTCGGCACAGTTATGTCCGAGGGTTGTACGAAGGAAGACGTGCAAAAAATTAACAGTTTATCCAAAGAGCTATGTAAAATGTGTAGGCGAAGGGATTTGGCTGGAAACAGACGAAGGAGATCAGTGACTAGCCGGGCTAGTATGATCCAATTAGACTGACGCTTACAGTGGCTTCTATAGTAGTGTCACCAATACACAACAGGGACGCTAATTTTTTGTACATATATTCCTGCTCGTTTACCAAAAAATAAAAAAATGTGCAAACCTTTATAATAGGATTGTAAAGTTTACCGGCAACGCATAAATAAGTAATATTCAAAAATTTATTTCCTCCTTGTGTCAAAATTTTCAATAAAACGTCCATATTTTCGTCCTCGTAAAGGATACAATTAACAATTCTAACTTGATTACAAATCAAATGATTCCAAATAAAATTAAAAGAAAAATGATCCCGCGTATAAAAGTTTGCCTTTTGAGAATGTATTTGTAAAGGCAGATTTGTTGCTTCATCAAACAATAATTGAATCATTTGTGGATTAATTATAGTCCGACTAATTTCAAAATATTCAAAAGCACAATTAAAAATTAATTTGAATAAATATCGAGCAATAGCCATTTCCTCTAGATTTTGTGGAAATTTTGACAATTTTATATGATATACTGCTGAATAAAAAAAATTTTAGATTAAAAAATTTTTTTATAGTTAAGGTTTGAATTTCCTCAAATACATTGAATTTCCGGTAATTTTTTACCAAAAATCTTTTTCAAAAATTTTTTGTCAAAAAAATTTTTGAATTTTGGCATATTTTTACTAAAATAGTAGAGACCAGCAAAATTGTATTTGCGGGATCCCGCATGCGGAAGTCCTTAAAAAGAGTGCGGAACTCATCCGAAAATATTCCCGCAAAATTCCGCACTCCCGTACCGCGCCGGTCTATAATAAGCTCAAATAATAAATTATAACCTTTTTTCCCTTTGTTATTTTGTTCCAATTCACAAACAACAGTGTCTACATCTTTATAACCAGAACGTATTAAAAACATTGGAATTGACTCTTCTATTCCACGTATCCACTAAAATTAAAATTTATTTTTAAATTAAAATTAAAAAAAAAACCTTTTTCTTAAGCTGTTTACTTAATTCAAAATCATAAAGATGAGGCTCTTCTATTTTAACAAATTCACCATTTTCACATTTGGAAAGCTAAAAAATAATAATTATTAAAATTAATTTTAAAAAATCAAAAATACAAATTCAAGCCTTGCAAATTTCTTCCTAGCCAATTCCTTTCCATATTTATCAACAATATTTTTGAAATAAAAACTTGTTTGTTGGAAAGACAATAATTGATCAAAGTCGAGAAATTTGAATACATCCAATAAATTTTCTGATGGAAGGTTTATTTGTATACCCTTTTTAGTTTTGATGTCAGCAGACAACTTGTCGTTTTCAAGTGGAGTCATTTGATACCATTGACCGTCCTAAAAATTTATGTTACTATGGAAATACTTCCCCGCATGTATGCTATTGTCTTGTCCGCAAATTTTCGTCGTTTCCGTCGCCTTGTCAGAACCGAGTTTTACTAGGTCGTTTCATAAAAAGTCGCTTTTTATCAAAACAATATTTGGAGTGATGTCTGGTAGTTTTGTGAACTTTTCTTCCCTATATGAGAGAAAAAGGAAAGGCAGGAAAAAAATTTGCGGACACACACTTGCGGACACGCTGGGAGATAATCAACAGCTTATATTTTATAAAAAAAAACATAAAATTATAAAAAACCTCCAAATAATATTTAATCCCCTCATATTCAATAATTTTTTGATCCTCGCTCATTCTTATAAAATAATTTGACTAAAATATAAATTAGAAAAATTTGGCCTAAAAATTGGAAGAAATAATTAAAATATAATTTAAAAAATAAATATAAGGAAATCATAACTTTAAACAAAAAAAAACAAAAATTTTAAAAATATATTTATCAAAAAACTCAAATTAAAGCAAAAATTTTGGTTTAAGTCTCGGTTTTGTATGTCCCCTCACCCTTTTCCCTATTTTCCCATTTCTTCTAAATTTCCTTCCATTTGCTACATGATTCAAATTCAAGATCCTATGCCGTGTCAGCTTCAACAATTGGGGGACATATGCCAGAGGTTGGTCGGAATTCTGATTTCGAAAAAAATATTGATTTCCGAGTTCCGACTTTTGAGCCAGTTCCGATTTCCTGCTCCTACGATTTCCGACACTTCTGACTGTTTCCAACCACCTCTGATCTATGCCAACGTTGGGTTGCACAGCTCCCACCTCCTCTTAGTGATAGGCTAACTTATTCTCTATAAAATCTTTTTTGGGAATAGAAGGCCCTACAAACCTAGGGGTGTGGAATACACACATACAACATTCGAAATTATTTCCAAAATTCAGAGACGGAGAATTATCGATTTTTAAATAAATTGAAAAAAGGGGGAAGAGAGACATACAAAACCGACTTTTTACCCAAATATTTTAATTAAAAATAAATGAAAAATTAATTAAACCTCATACATAGCAATTAAATCCATAAATAAATTTATCTCAATTAAATTCTTTCAATTACAGCATCAATTATCACGAGATAATTTTCCTCATATTCATCTTCTTCAATATAAACAGAAAATTTAATTTTTGGATTGTGTTTATTGACAAGTTCGAAATATTGTTCTTTGTAAATTTCGATATTTTCTTCTCCTTCATTTAAAATTTCGATATTTTCTTCTCTTTCATTTAAAATTCGAGGTCCAAACATATTTTTAAATTTAATTTCTTTGACTGTTTTAGTAATGTCTTTTGAAGTTTCAAGGTGCTAAAATTTCCGATTAATTAAAAAATATCTTCGAAAAACGTAGTCACAACTAAACTGACCATTTTGAGCCCTGATAATTTTTATTGAAAACAAACTAAAAAAATTTTTCCGGTGCAATAAGCGACGTGTCCCTATTCCTATTTTACGAGGAAAAACCTCGCGAACTATGATCGAAAAATTTTTTAGATAAAAATTACACTTTTGCGCCAATTTTTGGTTTTCTTCCCCTAAACCCCCTAGTTCGAAAAATTAAAAAAATGTCCAAACCTTTATAATCAAATTGTAGAGGTTAGTGTGAATTTTATCCAAAGTAAGGCTTAAAATTTTATTTCCTCCTTGTGTCAAAATTTTCAATAAAACAGCCATGTTTTCTTTCCCAAAGCAGGCAAACCTATCAAATTTTAATTGATTAGAAAACAAATGTTTCCAAATAAAGTTTGAGGAATCAGTATTCCAAATATAATCTAGTTCTGTCTTTTGAGAATGTATTTGTAAAGGAAAATTTGTTGTTGCTTCATCAAACAATAAGTCAATCATTTGTGGATTAATTAAAAACATATCAATTTCAAAATGTTCAAAAGCACAATTAAAAAGTAGCTTGAATAAATAACGAGCAATAGCCATTAACTCAAGATTTTTTGGAAAGTTTGGCAATTTTATATGATACAGTGCTGGAAATAAAAAAAAATTATTTAAAAATAATTTAATTTTTAGTTAAGGTTTGAAGTAGCGACTGAGAGAGTCATACGAAAAAATCTCGAAAAAATTTTCGAGACTCTTAAGACAATTAATTTATCATTAGGGAAATATAAAAAATCAAGGAGGGATTAAATAGCTCTATCCGCACAATAACCTCTTAATCCCACTGTCCCTCAAACCCTCCTAATCCTATGATATCGCCGAGTGAAAATTTTCTTTTGAACAAAATTTTTATAAATGGAAACCCCAAAAAATTTCAAATCCCAAAAAATATAGGTTAACCTTTTTTCCCTCTATAATTTTGCTGCAATTCACAAACAATCGCGTTTATGTTATACTGAATCGTTGTTAAAAACGTTGGAATTTGCTCTTCTATTCCACGTATCCACTAAAATTTTTTTGAGGTTATTTTTAAAAAACTTCAGTTTAAAAAAAACCTTTTGTTCAAGTTGTTTACTCAATTCAAAATCATAAAGATGAGGCTGTATTTCAACGAATTTATGTTTACCCAAATCAAAACCATAAATTGGACGCTAAAAATGGTAGTAATTAGTGTTAATGATTTATACTCGCTTTTTTCAACATTGGAGCCAAGGGCGTATCCAGGGGCTAAAGCCCACCACCCTATCCCGAAATGGCGTTAAGGTGGCTAAAAAGTGGGTGCCCAAGTCAGCCCATAAACAAAAAACCCCCAAAAATCGATTAAAATAAATTATAAAAAATACAAATTTAAGCTTTGTAAATTTCTTCCTCGCCAATTCCTTCTCGTATTTCTCAATGATATTTTTGAAATAAAAACTTGAGTGTTGAAAAGACAATAATTGATTGAAGTCAAGAAATTTGAACACATCCAGCAAATTTTCTTGAGGAAGGCTTATTTGAATACGCCTTTTAGATTTCATGTCAACAGGCATTTTGCCTCTTCCACTTGAAGTCATCTTCTGATACCATTGACTTTCCTACAAAAATCATGGGTATTTTTTAATTTAAAAAGAAACCTTTTTATAATATTTCACTCCATCGTATTCAATAATTTTTCGATCCTCGCTCATTCTTATAAAATAAGTTGAAAATTTGGTTTGTAAATTTAATAGAAATTGGTTGAAAATAATTTTAAAAAATTAAAATAAATCATCAAATATCTATAAAGAAATTATAACTTGAAATTAAATCAATAAAAAAAATTTTTATTTGATTTTTATAATGAAAAAGAAAAATTTAAAAAATAGGTTTTTCATAAAAATTTGCTTAAAGCTTGAAAATAAAAATGCTTTAAAATTGTAATCTAAATGTAAAAAATATACAAGAAAACTAGCTATATAAAGAATTTGAATTTAAAGAGATCAGAACGACAATTATGGACGAATTATCTTATTATAATTAAAGGTTACCCCAGCTCCATCCCGTGACCTCAATGGCACAGGCTCTCCAACAACATTAATTATAGATTCGAACTCGCCCCGTGTAAACCCTAACAACACTAGATAAACTCTAAAACGTTCTGATCTCTTTCCTTGTATAAAAAACATAAAAAATAAACCTATAATCAAAAAATTCGTTTTAAAAATGAGATTTTCGTCCAGCAAAAACAGGAATTAAGTAAAAAATCATCCTTGTTACAAATAATTATGCCCAAATCTAAAAAATAATTTGAATACAAAAATTTCTAAACTCAAAAATAAACCTTAAGGAAAGAATCCCATGAAGCAGTGCATATAGCTGTCCCATCCGGAGATGTTCTCAAACAAGAAATACGATTTTCATGTCCATACAAAACATGGGCTCGAACACATTTGAGTGTATCCCAAACAGAAATTCGATAATCACCATAGCCAGCAAATAATAGGCGACCTTTATTTTTGAATTTTTTTATTTTTTAAAAATTATTTTTAAAAAATTACCGCTAACAGAAAAGTCAACACCATTTACCTAAAAATTTTAAATAAAAAATTTTTTTAGAAAAAAATAAACCGGGAAGAAAATTGATTCTTTTTGGTAAACAGCAACTTGACGATCTGCACGAATGTCGTAGAGACGGCACTGGAAAATTTGTGGAGTGGAAAATTTTTTTATGAAATTTTAAAAAGTGATTCGGGCATGGAAAGAAATTTTCGCGTTTAAAAAATAAATTTCAAGGAACTATGAAGTTTGGTTAAGTGGAAAATCTAATTTTTAAAAATGATTCTGGCATGTGAAGTAACTCTACATTGCCAATTCTACTGCTAAGGGATCATAAAATTTAGTTAAGTGGGAAAAATTTAAGTTTGAGGAGGGTGAGGTCAAGGGTTCGAACCCGTTCAGTGAAAAACCCCATAATTCCTTAAAAATTTCTCCGAAAAATTTTTTTTATACCGAAGCATCATCAGATCCAGTAGCGAAAGCATCTCCATTTGGATGAAATCGAATAGTATTAATATCTTCTTCGTGACCATCAAAGCTTTGAACACACTGTCCTGAACGGATATCCCATACGAGTGCGTGTTTATCAGCACCCTAAATTAATTTTTAAAAAATAAAAATTAAAAAAATACCCCAGAAATAAAAATATTTCCCATATCAGACTTGGCAATGTCAACGGCAAAAACTTGAAAATTTTTTTAAGCAAAATTTAATTAGAAAATACCATCGCCTAAATGACCATGGAAATTTTGAATCATTTGACCACTTTCAACGTCCCACTAAAAAATAAATTTTTAAGAGAAAAAATATATTTTTTAAATTAACCATAGCACAAGTTGAGTCACCACTGCCAGTCAATAACTATAAAAAGAATTTTTTAATTATTGAAAGGAAAATCCAGAGGGGGTGCCTATTGTTAGTTAGAGTCAAATTCCCCACACAACGCAATAAGCGTAATATACGCAATAAGCGTGGCTATTAGCAAAGACGACATGAGTGAGAAGAGGCTAAAGTCTTCAAATAAAATTTTGAAAAATTCAAAAATTATTTCTGCACTTAAAAAACTTAAATTTGGTTAAGTGGGAAACCTTTAGGTTTGTGCTTACCTAGGCCGTGGGTTCGAACCCGCTTCAGGTAAATCTTAAATTTTTGTAACAATATTCTCGAAATCAATCAGAAAATTAAAAATTGTAAGAAAGAACCAATAAAAAATTTAAAAACCTAACCAAATTATCTGATCGAATGAAAGTACAGCAACTCATATAAGAAGTATGAGTAGCCACAGATCTTTTCTTTTGAATTATATCCTCGTCAAAGTTGAGAGGGATTACAGAACATTTATTGTCCAAACCACCACAAGCAATCATTTGCATACTTGGGGCAAAAGCGCAAGCCATAACCTTTAGAAAAAAGTAATTTTATAGGGGGCAAAACACCGTCCGATCAAAATACGTCCAGACAAGATGAGGAAAAAACTGTTCACTTTAATAAATATTAAGTTCGATTTATGTCGACATTATGTTCACCCAATATTTTTTTGACTTACTAGCTAATAGCTCTTGGTTACTAATCTACTCCTATGCCTAAGAAATTTTATTTTAAAAACTATTCACATTGAACGATCTGAACGGTAACTTTTGGTTAAACGGTGTCTTGTACCGTCATAATTAAAAAATCGTACCCATGTTGTAGGCATAGTGATGGCATGTTCTTTATTTGTTGTAAATCCATCCCATACCTTTTTAATGTCAAAATAAAAAATTCTTCAACATTTTAAGCTTACAATGACTTTCCCATCTTGCGAAGAACTGACAATGTGTCTTTTATCCTGTGCCCAATCCATACATAAAACTTTGCTAGCATGCCCACGGAGTACACGTCGACATCTCATTCCACCAAGTTCCAGTTTTGCCAATTTTGCGGCTGCTGTTTGGACTGGAAAATTGAAGGGAATAAAAAAGTATATAAAGATTCTGAAATAGATTGGGCCCGAACTATGAGCTTAGGTAAGCTGCCTAGAGTCCAGGAAACCTCAAACACAGCCCATGATCGGCAGGATAGCCCAGGCCCGCATCGACCCTCAAATAACTCTGGGCTTGGGTTATTGAACTGTTCTGGAAGTCCAGGAAACAACAGACCAAGCAGGACAAATTAGCTTTAACCCAAACCCCTCAACAAAAAATAAAAACTAACTTGGCACATCATTCAATTTTTGCCTTTCCTGATCCAATTTTTGCCGAAGATCTTCTGCTTCACGGACAAGCACTTCAATTTGATCACCACTTCTATCAAAGCCTTGATTAAATAAAACATTTAAAAATACCTTGAAGAGACATCATCAACCATTATTTACTTTATAATAAATTTAAATAAATTTGTTAAAGTTTCTTAAAAATCTAAACAAAATTGCTTGTAAATTAGTACGAAAGTGAAGAAAAAACAAAAAAACAATCCAAGTCAACTCCCAAATAAAGCCCAAGATTTATTGAAAAAAGATTAACGGCTCTCTCATATTATGCCAATTCCACATTCTGCCAATAAGGGTAAAAAGACACATTTTGCCACACAGTCAAGATAACAAAACGTACGATTTTAGTCACATTGGCAAAATGTCGTGAGGCAGAATGTCGACATAAGAATAATAAACGCTAAATTTCCGGTACACCTCAGTTGAGTCCCGACTCAGTTGAGTCCCGGACCCTATAACTTATCAAGGAATGGTCACTTTTTCATGTTATTGGTATCATTGGATAGGGCATTAAATAGGCTACAATATACCAAAAAATCAAAATCCCTGCCCGACTGGTAAAAAAGTTATGATCGATAAAGTGCCGAAAAATCAGATTTTTTTGAAAAAGTTAGTTTTTAAATCATAACTTTTTTATCAATCGGTCAAAAATTCTGATTTTTTGATATGTTATAGAACTTTTGATTCTCTATCCAATGATACCAATAACATGAAAAAGTGACCATTCCTTGATAAGTTATAGGGCCGGGACTCAACTGAGTCGGGACTCAACTGAACTGCTCCGCTAAATTTCAACAAATTTAGCCTTCCTGGCAAAATTAAATTTTGGCCAAATGAAATTTAACACTTTGAAAAACACTTCGCCAAAAATTAATTTTAACTGCCAAACTAGATAAAATTTAAACTTAATTTACAGAGGAATTAATTTTCTAAAGGATTAAGCTTCTTTTTAAGCTTTCTAACTAAGTTACTAACACCCGAGGATGTCTAAAAGCGAACCCAAAGATGCCGAACGAGTAACTACGTTAAAGAAAATACTTTGCGCTGGGAAAGGTTTTTAAATTTTCTTTTAAATTTAGAAAAAATTTTTTTTTTCAGGTGAATTACCCAATTATTGTAAGGATACTAAAGCAATATTTCACTACGAAGTCTTTTTGCCTCCCAAAACGAATAAATTGGATACAACTGAGATTGAAGATGCTGAAAAGGCCAGGCTAGCCATATTTCCTCACGACAGGTTTGAAATTTTAAAATTTTATTTTTTGACATTTCGACATCCTTTCGAAATTTCTTGGACATTTTTGGGTAATTTGACATTTTCAAAATTTTCTAATTAGTTGGCATTTTGAAATTTTACCATTTTGACAAATTTTCGATTTTTCGACATTTTGACATAACCCTACTAAAAATTTAAAAATTTTTAGATCCCTTTATGAATGTATTGATAGCACAAAGAAAGACTGGCCGAATGGTTACGGAAAGCCTTTGGAGCTTATTTTTGGGAAGAAATTTCAACTGCCTTTATTTGAAAAATGTTTGAGGACAATGCTGGTTGATGAGGTTAAAAAAATTTTTTTAATTTAAAAAAAATTTAAGCGAAAATTTTTTTCAGATAAGCCAATTTGATGTTTACGATCCAAACGAACTCATTACCTTTCCAATGGTTTCAAAAAAGTTGAGGGATATTGGGCATGCAGAAAAGGTTTTTATTTTGAATTTTTAGGTCGAGTTTCCGGCACGTAAAAATTAAATGAAATTTCTTACGGACGATTTTTGCGGATTTTCCTATCCTTCTCTTAATTTTTTTCTTTAATATTTTCCAAAACGAAAAATTTTTCAAGTTCATTTTCAAAAATTTTCCAAAAAATTTCCAATCCGCGAAAATCGTCCGCAAATAAACATTTTTTTTTAATTTTTCAAAAAAACTTTTAGGACCCAATATTTGCCAAAAAATACGAACATTCCCAAAAACATCAATGTGCTGCAACTGTTACAGAATTGGGTTATCCAGAATTGGACAAACTTTTGAAGGAAGGGCCTAGGCCTACTCGAGTTATTTTGCATTTACTTCAAGTTTTGAAGCCTGACCAGTGAATTATTTCAGACTTTAACTTTGAGGGGTAATTTCTTTTATTTTTTAGATATAAAGCAGACAATTGGCAGCTGGACGAAGTTCAACGTTCTAAACAAATTGATCAACTTAGAATTGAAGGGAATCAACTATTTTCTGAGGTTTTAAAAAATTTTTATTTAGTTTTTATGGCTACCAAAGTCCGCAAGTTCTGTCCGCAAAAAATCTTTGGGTAGATAGGTTATCGGTTTCACACCAATTTTTCCGGTTAATCTAACATGGGTCTGGAGCGGAGCTGGACACAATTGCGGATTTCGTAAAATTGCATGTTTTTTTGACTTGCGGATTGCAGCCGCGGAAATTTTTTTTTAATTGCGACCACCCCTGGTCTGGAGCGGGTTTGGGGTTTTCCTGGACCCAATTCAATAACAAAACTTCAGATTTTAGTTAGGAGTTGCCAAAAAAATTTTGGAGGCTTAAAACGAGCATATTCATTCTAGATTTAAAAGTAAGCAAACAGTGCGGACAAAACTTGCGGACTCTTTTTAACATAAGAGAAAATAACCCTAAAATTTTTTTCAAAATTTTTTTCTCATTCAGAAAGACTACCAAAACGCCTCATTAAAATACCGAGAAGCAATAACCTTATTAGACCAACTTTTACTTAATGAAAAGCCTGGGGATCCAGAATGGCTGGAATTGGACCAAAGAAATATTTTTTTGTTTTTAAATCTTTCTCAATGTTTTTTGAATTTGGGACAGTTTTATGAGGCTATAAATTGCGCAAATGAAGTGTTGAATAGGGATCCAAAGAACGTTAAAGCTTTGTTTAGAAGAGCTAAAGCAAAGATGCAAATTTGGGATTTGGAGGAGGTTTGTTGAGTATTTTTTTGATTTTTTTAATTTTTGTAATTGGGAGTAGGAGAGGATCCCGACCTCTCTATGATCCCATATCATGACCTTGAAGGTCCTAATCCAGACCCAGAAGAACCGCGACCTCCTAAAATCGTTACTGAATTGGGTTATACATTTATGCCCAAATGTCCGAAAATTCTATTCGCAAGATTTTGCAGATATCTTTATTGTCCGCAAGAACTTCCTTGGACTCGCAATCTGGACTAGATCCAATTTTTTTATTATAATAAAACCTTTTATTATCGGAGAGGGTTTTCACCCCTTCTAGTTGGACCGGCAACATTGCCATCCTTCTATTAAATTTTTTTTTCAAGGCAGAATCAGATTTACACCTTCTAAAATCTCTGGGAGCAGATGTATCTTTAATTAATTCTAACCTGAAACAATTGGAACAAAAACGGAAAGAAAAAGAATGTGAACAATCAAAAGCTTATAAAGCTATGTTTAAAGGTGTTTTAAATGTGGAAGAAGAAAAATGAGAGAGGTTAATTTTTTGTAAAAATTTTTGGGAAGAGTTTGAGTTGGAGCTTAAAAAATTTTTTTGAAAATTTTTACCTACCCTTTAAAAAAATTTTTTTGGAAGGTAAGAAAAATTTCAAAAAAATTTCAAAATTTTTAAAAAATTTTTGGGGGTTCAAAAAAATTTTTTAAATTAAAAAAATTTTTCAGGGTTCCAAAAAAATTTTTTTTCGACTAGCCAACACAAATATTTAATTACCTATATAAACTCTTCCTAAATTTTTCAAAAATAATTTTTTTCTAACATTTTTTATATCCCACCCTCCTCCTCTCTGCAAATAACCAAAACTGTAATAATTTTTTTTATTTTTTTACTGTAATATTGTGATCTCTAATTTTTAGAAAATAAATTTAATTAATAGGGACAGCCAAAATATGCACGGAAAATCGCCAAATATGCGCATATATATGCACCGAAAAAGCCCAAAATATGCACTAAAATATGCAAAATTTGCTAAAATATGCACTGAAATATGCAACAAAAAATAGTTAAAATATGCTATAAAAATCAATATTTTAATTTAAAAACAATAATTTAGCCTGAATTTTACATTTTAATAGCACTCCTAAAAGATTTAATGGATTTAAAACTGTTGCAAGAATTTTTTGTGAAAAAATTTTTCCCAAAAAAATTTTCGCAAATATTTTTTCAAGAAATTTTTATAAAAAATATAAAAAATTTTATAAAAAAATTTTTGACCAAAAAATTTTAAAATTTTGGTCAATTTATAGCATAATTTTACAAAAAATGCCGAAATATGGACCAAAATATGCAAAATTAGCCAAAATATGGACAAATATGCAAATATGCACGAGAGGGCCGAAATATGCAAATATATGCATTAAGAACCGGGTCCTAAAGTGCTCGGACACATGTAAAAACACCATTTTTGGGCTTCCCACATCAAGGCATATCCGCATACAAAACATGCATTTGCATGTTTTGGCTGTCCCTATTAATTAATTAAAGCTTACTCTACTAAAAAAATTTTTTTTCCTTTCCCAATCTTTTAATTACGTCAGCTGTCCCCTTATCTTTTCTTTTTAAAAATAATTTTCTGATCAATTCATTAAATAAATTTTTGCAAAAATAAAAAAAAAATAAATTTTTTTATTTTCCCCCTAATTTTTTTGTATTTATGCAATCAACAAACAATACACTTGAAATTAAAAACAACAAAAATAATAATTGTCTAGATAATGAACAAATATTTGTTAATAATGAAATAGGTAAGTGAAAAAGTGTCGATTAAAACATCCCTAAAATTTACCCAAGTGAAACCTTGACATTTTTTCATTTTACCCAAATGAGTTTTGACATTTTGAAAATTTTTGCATTAGTTGACATTTTGAAATTTCCCGATTTTTCGAATTTTAAAAATACTAATTTAAAGAAAAATTATTTTTTTAATTGTTTGATAAAAGAATTGAGACAATAAAAAAATAAAAAAATTAAAGACAAAAACAAAAAGCTAACAAAATAACTAGTAGCTAGCTAATTTTTTCCTTTTCAAGTGTTTATCTTCGGCCACAATAAAAACAATTGTGTATTTTTAATTAAATGCGCGCAAATCTCTTTCTTAAAAATCTAATAAATATAAAAATATAAATATATATTTATTTGTTTGTATTTTTGATTTAAAAAAATTTTCGAAAAAATTGGTCAAAATTTTTGTCAAATGCTTTTTTAAATTAAAAGCTTCCGGTGAAGATGTGTCTGCCTTTTTCCGTTGAAAATTTATTTAAAAGCAAATATAAATTTTTTAAATTCACCCATTGTCCCTCACATTGTTACTACTTTATTGTTTTTAATTTTACTTGGGACAATTTCAAATGTCAACCCAAAAATTGAGAATTAGTGTTGCGCCGGAAGTTCCGGATCCGGTGGGCGGAAGTTCCGGGATTTTTTGGTTCCGGTTCCGGCCAAATTTGCGGTTCCGATGCAACACTATTAAGAATCCTTGATTATTTTCAAAATGTCAGTCTCAAAACGTCAATTTGGGAAAAATTGTCAAAATGCCAGATGACAAAATGCCCAATGACTCTACCCCATGCCTTAATAATTTAATTTTAAAATTCAAAAACAGGTCTACCAACAAATTCAATACCCTCTAATAATATGGCAATCTCAATCCACCCAAAAAAGAATTGCAACAAGGATATTATTCCCTCTTCAACATATCGCTGGTTTCTCTCCTACCGTATGATGACTGCAAGCATGTTATGCCTTTGTTTTGCTAGGCAAATTTAATTTTTAAAATTAAAAAAAATTTTTTTAGTGTTCATATGATGAATGCAAATTTAGGAATGGCTATGTAAATTTAGAAAAAAATTTTTTCCTAATTTATAAAAATTGAAAGGGTTTGTATGGTAGACGATGATTACTCCCCTTCAACCAAAAATGAGAGTAATAACGCTTTGGAATACGAATTGAAAAATTTTACAAGTGTTTTTGGTGCTGCTCCGAGGGTACATTGGTCATCGGAAGTAAGTTCAGAAACGTCCGACCCCCAAAAATATTTAAAAATGTCCAACCCCTAAAAACATTTAAAATGTCCAGAATCCAAAAATATTTCGAAATGTCCAAAAGTCAAAAATCCCCAAAATCTCAAGTATATCTAAAAACACCCTTTAACAGGATCAAGGCTGGATCTTTGCAGCATTCAATGCCGGGCTTCTCTGTATGTTATTTACTGGATTCTTAGCGGACAAGTTCAACGCAAAATGTTTCTATACTTAATTTTCCAAAATTAAATAAAAAAAATTTAAGATATGATAATCGTTAGTGTATTGCTTGCATCTATGGCTAATATTGCTATTCCTTTAACTGCTACATTTAAGTTGGTTTTCCCCTATAAAATCCTCCCCCTTTCAATAAAACCCTTTCTTCCCCTTCAAGTGTTGGCTACGCAATAGCTGCTCGTTTTATGGTTGGCCTAGCTGAAGCACTCTTACAACCAGCTATTAACTCGCTCGTTACAAGATGGTTCCCAGCATCTGAACGGTCATATGCTTTGGGGCTAGCTACTGGAGGGAGGCAATTTGGTTGGAAACTGCTCCCTTTTTAATTAAAATGGCCACAAATCCAAATTAAGGCACTCTACTAATTATCCCAACAGCAGGGGCTTTATGCGCCCAGAACATTTTTCTTGGCGGCTGGCCTTCAATTTTTTATGTTTCTGCTTTTTCGGGGCTTCTATTTGTGTTAATTTATATTTTGGTTGGGGCTGATAAGCCTAGCAAACAAAATTGTATTTCTAAAGGAGAATTAACGTGAGTTATAAATTAAATTAAACTTTTTACAATTTGTAAAAAATAAATTAAAACGTTTTTTACAAATTGTAAAAATAGAAAAAAAAACTTTGTACAAATTGTAAAAATGTTTAAACTTTTTTTTTACAAATTGTAAGAAATAAATTAAAGCCTTTTACAAATTGTAAGAAGTTTCTATTTATTTTTTACAAATTGTAAAAAAGGTTTAATTTATTTTACAATTTGTAAAAATAATTAAAAACATTTTACAAATTGTAAAATAAACTTTTTTTACAAATTGTAAAAATAAAAATCCCCCTTTATTCCCCCCACAGATTTATAACAGTAGCAAATTCACTGGAACATATGGGACAGAAGCGTATTAATCGCAAAGTTCCCTGGAAGTGTATATTAAAATCCCCACCAGTATGGGCAGCTCTAGTTTCTGTCGTTTGTCACGAATTTCCCTTAATGACTATGATTATGTTTTTGCCGGCTTATCTACACGATGTACACCATTATGATTCTACTCAGAATGGAATTTATAGTGTAAAAATAATTTTATTGGGAAAAAAATTTCCCAAAATTTTTTCTAGGCTCTCCCAACTCTAGCTCTTTGGATAAGCAAAATTACTTCGAGTTGGCTTAACACGTGGCTACAGGAAAATACAAAATGGGGCGTCTCTTATATTTCTAGGGTTCTTAATGCAATCGGTGATTAAATTAAAAAATTCAAACTGATAAAATTTCAAAATGGTCAAATTTCGAAATGGTAAAAATCCCAAAATGTAAAAATCCAAAAGGGAAAAAATTTCAAAATGGTAAAAACTCAAAATGCCAAAATATCAAAACACCCACCCATAAAATCCCAAAAACGCTTTTTAAGGCTCAATTGGATTGTCACTCTTCATGCTAGGAGCAACTTTCCTAGACTCATCCAGAGCATCATTAGCCGTTGTTCTCCTATGCTTTTCAATGTTTTTTACAGGATTGCATACCCCTGGATGTCAAGCCGCATTAGTCGCTGTTGCCCCCGCATTTTCTGGTTACCAAAAAATTTTTTGAAAAATAATTTCTACTCATTTTAGGCGCTATAACTGGACTAACTTTCTTTTTTGTTGCAATAAGTGGTAAAATGCAAAAAATTTTCCGATAAAATTTTTTGTATTTTAAGGCATAATAAACCCAGGAATGACAAAATTAATAGTCAGAAATGGTTCTGCTGCAGAATGGAATATCGTTTTTTACATTTCGACTTTTATTGGATTAATTCCTGTGATTGTCTTTAGCTGGTGAGAAATTCTGAATTTTTAGAAATTGGACCCTTTGAAAAATTGAAATTTCGAAATGGGGCATTTCGAGAATTTGACATTCTGAAAGATTAAAAATTTTTAAAGGTGGGGCTCAGCCGATATTCAAAACTGGGCTAAAGGACCATCTTCAACCCCATCAACAGCTTCATGCCCTACATTGGCAACGATTGAGTCAATTAGTGAGGGAAAAAATGAGGTAAAACAGAAAGAATATCCCCAAAAAATAGAAGAAAAATACTAGAAAGGAAGCTTTTAAGTGAAAGATCTCAAATTTGTGTAATAAATGTTTTTACATGGATTGTAAAAATAAATAGAAATAAATTACAAATTGTAAAAAATAAATTAAAACTTTTACAAATTGTAAAAAAGTTTTAAACATTTTTTTACAATTGTAAAATTTAAATAAGACCTTTTTACAATTTGCAACAAGTTTTATTTATTTTCTACAAATTGTAAAAATAAATTAAAACTTTCTTTTTACAAATTGTAAAAAGGTTTTATTTAAATTTTACAATTTGTAATAAGTTTAAAAATTATTTTTCAATTTGTAAAATAAATTAAACCTTTTTTGCAAATTGTAAAAATAAATAAAACTTATTTTTTACAAATTGCAAAAAGGTTTTATTTAAATTTTACAATTTGTAATGTTTTAAAAATTATTTTTACAATTTGTAAAAAATAAATTAAAAATTGTTTTACAAATTGTAAAAAATCAAGTAAACAATAAATTAAACCTTTTACATATTGTAAAATAAATAAGCCAAACTTCATTCACCCAATTAATAAAAAATTGACCGACATTTGTGGAACGGAACGCTTTCTTCGATTTTTTGAGCATTTGACCTTCTATTTAAAAATAATTTTAATTAAACTTTAAAAATTAACCTCCACAACCATAACCAAACATCAACATCCACACAAGTAAAATTATTTAATTTTTTGAATGTTTCTGGATTTATTGAATTTTTTCTTGTTTCACAAATGTTTTTGATTTCGTTCAGAATAAGCTGATGTGAAAAAAATTTATTTTTGAGTACTAGGCATGGACAGGGAAAGGTCTGGGCGATGAAAAAAATCTAGTCGGAGTTCGGGCCGAAAAAATTTTTTTGAGTACTAGGCATGGACAGGGAAAGGTCTGGGCGATGAAAAAAATCTAGTCGGAGTTCGGGCCGAAAAAATTTTTTTGAGTAAAAGATTTTTTAAAGTATTGATAGGTCCAAGGAAAGGTCTGGGCAAGGAAAAAAATCTGCTCAGAGTCCGCGTCGAGTTTTCAATTTTTAAGGTTCGGGGGTCTCACAACGAAAGTCCAGCGTCTTAGGTAACCCAACCATTCCGCGGTATTTATTTTCTATCCCGCTAGACAGGACCCACTAGCCATGAGCCTTTCCCCAGTTTAAAAAAATTAAAATTGGTCGGAGTTTGGGCCAAAAATTTTTTATAAAAAATAAACTCAATCCACATCCGTTAGGCAGGACCCATTTCCCAATTAAAAAATTAATAAAAAAAGTTCAAACCTCACAAGCCTCAATAGAAAATCCTCTAATTTGTACTTCCTCTTCCCCGCCACATTTCAACAATTTACTATTTTTTAAATGTTCCAAAAGGCCATTTCCATATTCCAAAACATTTAAATAGGCAAGTGCTTGGGGTACTCTATAATCCGCAAACATTGTTAATTTATTTATATCAGTAAAATTTGCATTAGAATCCTTCCCTTGCAGACAGGAGTAAACATCGGCAACCAAAATTTGAGCTCGTTTAAGGAAGGAAACTGAAATAGAAATGAATGAAAAATGAATATTTTGAAAATTTTTTTGAAAATTGGACTTATAAAAGTAAAAAATGTTTTCTGATGGGAAAACTTTACACAGTCCCGTAGCCAGGGGATAGGGAGGAAAGTTGTTTCCCCCGAAAAAATCCTGGCACCAGGACTGGATGTACGTCTTAAATTTTTTTTAAAAATTTGACATTATGAGGCCTTGACATTGTGACATCGACTTTGACATTTTTATCAGATGTCAATGTCATTTGACATCTTTTAAAATATTTTAACACAAGCATTAACCTCTACGCCCACGATATTCAGCAAAATCTCGAAAATTGGGAAAATTCTCAATTATTATTTGAAGTAAATTTAAAGCACTATTTGAACATTTTAAAAGACAATTGTAAAAAGAGCCTCCAAATTTCTAAAAATTGAAAAATATTTTTTTGACGAATATTTTAACTAACCTCATTAAGTATTTTCCCGTTCTCTCGAATCATTTCCATTCTTTTATTTAAAAGAGGAATTGAAACATCTTAAAATTAAATGTTAAAAAATGATTAAAAATTGGACGTTTTGAAAGGGTTTTTGGTTTTTTCCTTAAAATTCATGGACGGTTAACCGCCCGGATAAATTTTCCCTGTAGCGGGGCAAAAAGAGAAGAGAGAATAGAAAAGATAAAGAAACTCTGCTACAAGGAAAAATTAATCGGGCGGTTAACCGGCCATGAACTACTCTAATTTTGAATATTTTTAATAAATTTAGGAAATATGAACCCTGGACATTTTTAAAAATTTTGAAGCAAAGCAGAAGGTTACGAAAGACAGCTTGAGATTTTTTTGGAAAAGTGGGCAGTTCGAAAATGTTATTGTGAAATATTTTTTATAAAAAAACTAAAAAATCCCAAAACCTCTGTCTCCTCGAAAAACATCCTTGACAATTTTCTCATCAATATTAGCCATATAATCTGCAGAAGTGAGCGGAATTCCATTTTCGAGGGCACGATTAATTGCCACACAAACACCAAAATAGCCACTGAAAATTTTCTTTTAAATTTCTTTATAAAATTTTAAAAAACCTTTGAGTTGTTCCATTGTGGGTAATCTTTTGAAAAAATAATTTGAAAAAAAAAAATAAAATTAAAAAAACCTCCCAGTGATTAATTTCTCCATCAGGCCAAAAAGAAAAATTAATTGTGTCCATAAAGAAGATCCTAGGAAAAAAATTAAAATATAATCAGACTTCATATAATTAACCCAAAAACCTCGATACATTTTTTAAAATTTGGTTGCCTTTGAGTGAGGGGGTTAACTAAATTTTCTAAAAAAATTCCAGCATATATCTCAATTACATATACGGGAGCAGGCCAACCTACCTCGAGCCCAACCTACTGCCAAGGCTATAAATTCCTTAAAAATTGTCGAATCCGGGCCACCCTGGTATGGTTCGATGTGCCTCAACAAACTAAAACGAACTATACCAGTGCATTCCGGATTTGACAATTCTTGAACGAAGTTATAGCCTCGGCGACAGGTTAAAAGTAAGGTCTGACTAAAAATTTTTTAAAATTTGAAAAATTCCAAACCAATCAACAGCAGCTTTGTCAGCACTTTTCGGGTGAAATTCACACTCATCAAAATTTAATTGCCCAATTTCTGTTAAAGTCGAATTACAAAAAATTTCTGCCACTTCGACAACTGCCTCATTATTTATTTTAATTAAATTTGTTTCTGCGTTGTTTACAATAAATTTGGCTGAATCTCTAGGATTTAAAACATCTGAAAATTAAAAAATTTTTTTAATAAAAATTTAGATATTTTTCGAACCTTCAAACACAAAATTGGTAAAAATGGAATTCATGACACTAAAATGAGAGAAAAAAATATTTTTCTAACTATTTTTGCAACAGCAATTTACAAAATACAAAATGCCAAAAAATATTTTTTTGTCGAAAATTATTTTTTAAAAGCATGACACTAGAGTCTTAGTGCAATTTTAGTCAGTGCATTTTTCGGGGCCCGGAAACCGGATCTTGAATCTCACACTCATGCCGGACCAGATCTGGCCGGAGTCCATTGCGGCGCCAGTCCTTAATTAATGTAAATACTAGGCCATCTTCTGGATTCCATTTTTATTCTTAAAATTTCTATACCGTAGTCGGTTTCCTATAGATACACTGAACACATCGAGGTGTGCCTGACAAGATTAATGGAGGGAGGTTTTTAGATTTATTTGGATATTAATTGGAGCTGTAGTTTAGCGCTCTTATGGTTCTTCAATTTTGGGGACTTATAACTCGCTCCAAAGACACTTCCTCACTTAGATGTGTAGTGGTATCACTCGACCTCAGACCTACGAATTGAATGATATATGAATCTACTAGAGACTTCTAAGACCGAAAATTTTCCAAGACTCAAGACCTAAGACCAAGACTAGACCTAAGACCAAGACTTGACACTAAGACTCAAAACCAAAAGTCTTGGAAGTCTCTAGAATCTACCCATTTTGTGGTGGGTCCTTGAAAAACTATAGCCTAACTTGGAAGTGAATTTTGGTAATGAATTAATTGAAGAATAAAGCAATTCACCTAATCATTTTTACTCAATTTTTGAGATTTAATTTCTTCCATCCAACGCTAAATTTAATTCTAAAATATCTCCTGCGTACGAACATTAAAAAAATTCAAATTTTAGAGATGAAAATCAAATGAATTCCACGTTAGTAGCCAACGACAAAGCTGGAATCCAACGAATTGGTAAGTTAGCTTTAATTCCACGTTTTAAAAACTTCTAGCAATCAATTGACGCAAATAAAAATTAAAAAAAATTTTTTAAGTATAATAGGCTTAACTTCCAAGAATAGCAACAAATTTTATTTAAAATTTAAAATTATGAGGAGGCCTTTGCGTTTAATTTATTTGAACAGCTTGACAAGAGTTATAACGCGCTTGAATCTATTCTTCTTACAAGCCTTTATAAGCCGCTTCAACGAGTAGGAGAATATCAGTAATCCCATATTACTTGTTAAATCTTCCTCTCTCCCAATACCTGTTAATACCTTCCTCTCTCTACCAAGAAAACTTTTTTAAATGAAATTATTAATTTCTATCTTCATTGGCTTTTTGGCCATTTCTATATCCTTACAAGGTGGGTGTTTGAAATATATCATAACTTAAACTCAGAATTTTTGAAAATACGAGAGACTTATATTTTTCTAATTTCAGATGATGTAGCAACACCAGCTGCCGAGTTTCCTGATTTCTGTAGCAATCCAAGTCTTAACAAGAACGCAAAAGTGAAAGCTTGCTGTGAGGCAGTTACAGAGGCAGCAAATGCTGGAACATATAAAGGTGCAGATGGACCAGTACCGGATAAATGTACTCTAAAGAGTTGTGGACGTGTTTGCAATCGCTTTTTCAACCAAAAAGGAAATGATGTGACAGAGATGCCAGAAAGCACAACAACCGAAAGTGAGTCTTCAGAAGAATGTGAATGTGGAGATTCAGAGGATGAAACTACAACAGAAGCTCCACCAACTCCACGAAACCCATACCCATCTGGACCAGAACCTACTCCAAAACAACCTGGATATCCCCAAGCACCAGCATCACCAACTCCACGAAACCCATACCCATCTGGACCAGAACCATCTACACCAGGAGGACAAGTAGCATCGCATAAGCCTCCAGCAGCACCTTCTACTCCACAGCCTGGATATCCTCAACCACCAGCAGCTGCATCAACCAAACCTCCACGAAACCCATACCCATCTGGACCAGAACCTACTCCAAAACAACCTGGATATCCCCAAGCACCAGCATCTACTCCAAAACAACCTGGATATCCCCAAGCACCAGCATCACCAACTCCACGAAACCCATACCCATCTGGACCAGAACCATCTACACCAGGAGGACAAGTAGCATCGCATAAGCCTCCAGCAGCACCTTCTACTCCACAGCCTGGATATCCTCAACCACCAGCAGCTGCATCAACCAAACCTCCACGAAACCCATACCCATCTGGACCAGAACCTACTCCAAAACAACCTGGATATCCCCAAGCACCAGCATCACCAACTCCACGAAACCCATACCCATCTGGACCAGAACCATCTACACCAGGAGGACAAGTAGCATCGCATAAGCCTCCAGCAGCACCTTCTACTCCACAGCCTGGCTATCCTCAACCACCAGCAGCTGCATCAACCAAACCTCCACGAAACCCATACCCATCTGGACCAGAACCTACTCCAAAACAACCTGGATATCCCCAAGCACCAGCATCTACTCCAAAACAACCTGGATATCCCCAAGCACCAGCATCACCAACTCCACGAAACCCATACCCATCTGGACCAGAACCTACTCCAAAACAACCTGGATATCCCCAAGCACCAGCATCTACTCCAAAACAACCTGGATATCCCCAAGCACCAGCATCACCAACTCCACGAAACCCATACCCATCTGGACCAGAACCATCTACACCAGGAGGACAAGTAGCATCGCATAAGCCTCCAGCAACCCCTTCTACTCCACAGCCTGGCTATCCTCAACCACCAGCAGCTGCATCAACCAAACCTCCACGAAACCCATACCCATCTGGACCAGAACCTACTCCAAAACAACCTGGATATCCCCAAGCACCAGCATCTACTCCAAAACAACCTGGATATCCCCAAGCACCAGCATCTACTCCAAAACAACCTGGATATCCCCAAGCACCAGCATCTACTCCAAAACAACCTGGATATCCCCAAGCACCAGCATCTACTCCAAAACAACCTGGATATCCCCAAGCACCAGCATCTACTCCAAAACAACCTGGATATCCCCAAGCACCAGCATCACCAACTCCACGAAACCCATACCCATCTGGACCAGAACCATCTACACCAGGAGGACAAGTAGCATCGCATAAGCCTCCAGCAGCACCTTCTACTCCACAGCCTGGATATCCTCAACCACCAGCAGCTGCATCAACCAAACCTCCACGAAACCCATAACCATCTGGACCAGAACCTACTCCAAAACAACCTGGATATCCCCAAGCACCAGCATCTACTCCAAAACAACCTGGATATCCCCAAGCACCAGCATCTACTCCAAAACAACCTGGTTATCCCCAAGCACCAGCATCTACTCCAAAACAACCTGGATATCCACAAGCACCAGCATCACCAACTCCACGAAACCCATACCCATCTGGACCAGAATCATCTACACCAGGAGGACAAGTAGCATCGCATAAGCCTCCAGCAGCACCTTCTACTCCACAGCCTGGATATCCTCAACCACCAGCAGCTGCATCAACCAAACCTCCACGAAACCCTTACCCATCTGGACCAGAACCTACTCCAAAACAACCTGGATATCCCCAAGCACCAGCATCTACTCCGCAGCCTGGATATCCCCAACCCCCAGCAGCTCCATCAACCAAACCTCCACGAAACCCATACCCATCTGGACCAGAAGATCTACCCACTACAAAAAAGCCAGTCAATATAACAACAACTTTGACACCAAGACGTAATCGTTATCCAGTTGGGCCACCGGAATAAGATGGATGAATATGGGGAAGTTTAAGATGACAAAAGAATGAAGTAAAAAAGAAAAAAATGAAACTATGGGATGAAAATTTTTGGGGTAATTCACATGATAATTAAATGGACTATTTAATAAATTTTTCATAAAATTGGCATTAAATTTGTAATAAATATTTTGGGTTTATAATTTTATTTTTTACCTCTCCTCTTCCCCCTTATTCTCCTTTTCTCGGTTAATTTCACGTATCATTTCCCCTTCAGCTTTAAGCTCGGCCATTGTCTGCCGTTTGCGTTGACTTGACTTTTTCGTTTTTTCTTCAAGTTGAGATATTATACGGTCAAATTGAACAGAATAACTATTATCTCCATTCAAGTGTTTGTCTACTTCCATCTGTTAATTTAAAAATTTTTTTTTTGGAAAAAGGGATAGGACACCTTTAAGCGTTCATAAGCAATTTTAATATTTTCTCTCAATATTCTAGATTGGTGTACCTTAAATTTTATTAAATTAGAATGGGTTTCCTTTTAAAAATCCGGGGAAAAATCCCCCGATATCTCTTACTCCCCTAACATCCGTCATTTTTCCTTCCATATTTTTGAAAAAGCCTGTGGTGCATTCATTCACTCACCTCCCCCAATCCCAAATATTTCGGCATCTCCTTAAAATAACCTTAATCCCTCTATTCCCAAACCTCACAAATTCTCTGATATCCCTCCTAATTTTCGAATCACCAAATACCCTCGTCACCCCTTCTGGTCATTCTATGTCCCTTTATGGAGATTGAACCGGTGCTTAGAGGGATTGAACCGTGCCGACTGAAACGAGCCTGGACTGAAATTAACTTTTCCGTTTTGGACATTAGATCCCCATAAATTTATTTGAAAGGTCTTTAGAGTCCGAGACCTCAAAATTTGCTAGAACTGGGACTTTTTAAAAAAGTTTATATCTACCTTAACAAAGCAACCAGTCGGTTTATGTTTTAACAAAACAGCATTACTAGAAGAATTGACACAGGAACCGCCTGGGCCCCATCCTCTAATATATTGTTCTTCACAGTCTTTGGGCAATATTTCTGGAAATTTGTAGTTTTTTAATAATCTTTTGGCCGTTGAATGTGATGAAAAGCGAATAGAAGATAAAGAGAGGGCATGAGCATAAAAATTATTTAAGTGAAGCATAATTGACTGAAAAAAGGAAAGAATGAAAATATACCCTAAGATGAAAAATAATCCCGACAGGCGAGAAATTTACTCAAAATAGCTTAAAGAAAATAAAGACTGCAATGGATTTATCAGTTTTATATCTTTTAGAAAAAAATAAAAAATCATAAGAATAAATTAATAATAAGATTTAACGTTCAATATTCATCCAAGTCACAATCTTCAGAAAAACATAATCTCCACAGTAAAATAACTCATAATTAGAGACCGGACCGCAGCTAGATTTGGAACAAAAATCTGGGGTACTCAGCTCGATATGCTTTGAGATATTTTAAAGATGATCCAGCTATCACTTAGAATGCTTAGTATGGGGTTAACCGAAAATAAGGAGAAAAAAGAAGTGGTTAAGCACCTAAATGTTGCTAAACTCTCCCAGTACGGTCTCTACTCATAAGTTATTGTAATCGTAATCAATCATAAGTATAATCGTACGTATAAGTAAAATCGTTAGAATTAAAAGTACAAGGAAAATCATCAGAATTAAAAGTAAAATCATCAGCACTAAAAGTACAAGGAAAATCATCAGCATTAAAATCATCATAACCATCTGATAAAAAATAATTTTTATAATAGAAAAGAGGGTAATAATTTGGTTTATAACCCCGCACCCCCCCCCCCCCCCCATTTTTACCCATTTAATTTAAGGTATCTTTCTCTTTTTATACCTAAACCAAACTATTAGCAAAAAATGTACTTTTTATAAAACTTACAATTATAATATGGATTTTCACAGAAAATTTGAAATAAACACTCATGCTGTCTACCAATTGAATCACTGAATTTTATATTGCGCGCAATGTATGAAGAATACTCGTCAGATAATTTATCAATAACAAATTCATCTCCCAACGTGAAAATTGTGTGTTCATTCGAAATCGACTAATTTTAAATAGAATATTATTATTAGGGTTGGGCAAAATATGAAATGAATATCACCATACATATGCACCGAAAATGACCAAAATATTAAAATGTTAATTTTCAGAAAAAAATCCCTAATTTGTTAAGGGTTATCAACTATAACTTTAGAAATATTTGATAAAAAATTCTGAAATTTCTGGAGAAGATAGTCAAGAATTGTTAGAGAAAGTTGAGAAAATTTTCACGAATTTAGCTTTCTCCCAAGTGCCAGTTACGAGTATCGCTCCAAAACGACCCCAACCCCATAAAATCAGGTTAAAGCAAGGCAGAAAACCTTTTCAATATTTACCTCGAATTCCTCTCTAATTGAAAATTTTGCAGTAAATTCAATTCGTATCTTCAAATGTTCACTACCACGATGCAGGAGTTTGAGATCTTCTATAATTGGAACAATAATGACCTCCAATTTAGTAAGGTAGTCGTTAGAAGAATTTTCCACTTCTTCTAGGTAAAAGTTAATGTAGTTAGTGAACTCAAATTCCATATATTCAAGATTTGGGCAGCAGAGAAGCAGAAAATCTTTATAATTTTTGAAATGGTAGAGAAAATTGTTCATCGATTCCATCTCAAGCCTACACATTGTTACAATCTTCTTTGTACGCTCATTAACAATTGGAGGTCTAAAAATAAGTTCGAAAGTCGATCGAGTATAAATTCATTATAAAAAATTACTCATTGGACGAACTGCATACAAAAATAAGATTTTTTCGAATGTCAAATTCAATATTCTCCGCGTTAATAGAAAGTAAAGTAGTTAGGTGCTTTTCTGTTAAATAAATTTAATTAAATTGAAAAAAGAAAATTTGAAAAAAAAAACTAACGAAAAGTCACTGCATACTCAGAAACTTCCAAATTCGAGATTTTTATTAAGCTTGAAGTGGATGGAGTATGTACAGCTAAATAAGGAAGTAAATATTTTAAAATTTTGGTAATTTTCTAGTTTACTGATCCCTAGAATAAATTATTGGGAAATGATTTTAAATATTTTTTGGGTTTGCCAGTAGAGTTGAGAATAGTCCCGGAACTTAATAATTCTAATATTACTATTCAAATTAACTCTGGGTCCTCTTGAAACCTAAAAATATCTAAAAGGCATTTTTTGAGTTTTTTCTAGGGAAAAAATAATTGCGAAAATCGATCAGAAAACCAAAAAACTATCCAAATTTTAATAAAAAAATTTTTTAACCTTTCATATTTACCAAACATTCAAATGTTTCATCGGGAAAGTCATATAAACACTCATTTATTTGAATGTTTGAAATACGTAGAAAGCCAGCACGGTGAAGATCCAAAAACAATTGCTTAGAAACAGAGTATGGTCCAGTAAAATTATTCTAAAAAGTTTGTACTTTTTCTTTATCCCTGCAGACTTGCGGACTTTTTTTGCGGACATTTAGCAAATAACCACTATCTCCAATAACCACTACTTAAGCATGTTTTTTCAAAAAAGTCTCTTTTACCATTCATTTCCCCCACATAAACTCTATAAAATAACACTCAATGATAGCATGTTAATTGCGTCCGCAAAACTGCAGAAAAGTCCGCAAAATTCTGCAGGAATTATACAGAAAGTAAAAAAATACATTCTTTTTCTTGACATCCCATGGCAAAACTTTGTCTTTATAAAGATCAATTCTAAATTCGCCACAAGTAAAAAATTCAAGCACCTTTATCTTGGTAAAATTGGAAAGAAAAGCCTGCATGTTTTTTGCACTGTGATACTAAAAATAAAGGTAATTCCAAGGCTGCCCCCCCCTTTTTTTCCTTTCTATTTTTTCGATTTTTTAAACTTTTTATGGCAAATTATATATCGTTCGAAAGAGCTCTTCAAGCTGAGTCGAACGGTACTAAATTCATCGAAATCCGACTTAAATAAACACAGTTATGACCATTTGTTTTAATCCCTTTCGACATCACAAAAAGAGCATGTCCATCGAGGATTTAGCTTCATAATTCTGCTCAAAATCTCCAAATCGAACCGATCATAGTACCATTCTACTCAGCTCGAACAGCTCTTTCGAATGATATATTGTAAATTATATGTCAAGCAAAAAAGCTCAAAATGGCCAGGCGAACAGAAAAAAGGGGGGGGGGGGGGGACCAGCCTTGGAATTACCAAAATAAATATTAATAGATATGTGAATATAAATTAAATAAAAACCATGAAAAGTGTATAACCAGTCAATAAACGCAAATCCATTTGCTTCGAGTCTGGTCGTCGATCTTTTCGATACATTTCTTCATCGAGTGGTTTTTTAAAGAGTAGCTTTTCAGATATAATTTGTAAAACATCGTTGGATAATTGTGGCATTGACGACATTACACTAAAAAAGTGATAAGCTAAATTTAATGAACAACGAATAGGAGGTGAAAGGAGAAATATAAACCGGCACGGAAAATAATCCATAAGTTGGGGTGAGACTGAAACGTCCCCTTAGAAAAAAACAAAACGCCAATTAATAAAAAAAATAAAATGGACAAATCGTCACACACTTAAAATACTAGAACGACATAACGCCAGAAGCACCAAAAGAGACAAAACGCCAAGAAACGCGAAAAAGACAAAACGCCTATTTTAAATTTGCACTGTTCAAATAAATATTCTTTGTTGCCTAGACGACTGGAAATACTGCTTAAAAACTCATTTGCCTATTCTTACTCAAAATAAAATTTAAAAAAATATTTAAATCAATTGAATACATCCATCAACAATGAAAGTAAATTAAAAATTAAATTAAAAAATAATTTAAAAAAAAATTTTTAAAGTTACTCTTTCGTATCCACAATCCTCAATTATACGGTAATGGACCTTTAATTTCTGAATGGCGTCCGGGTGGAAATAATATTGCTGTGGCTGGACCTAGCGGTGTTGTGCGTGTGTTTAATCGTTACAATGAAGTTACTGAAGAGTTTAATATAAACGAGTAGGTTTGAAGTGAATATTGCTTTCCGGAAGGATTTAATGTATGCCTATATATTTTTCCGGAATGTGTTATATTCATTAGTATTTTATGCAATGTTTTATATTTTCCGGAAAGTCAATACATAATATTTTTATATCTTTCCGGAAAGTGGATGAATATTCCGGAAAATTATTATTGGAGTATATTTCCCGGAAAATATTGGAAATGTTCCGGAATGTTTTATATTTTACTGAAGGTGTATTTTCCGGAAAGTCAATACATAAATTTTTTATTTTTCCGGAAAGTGAATGAATATACCTATATTTTAAGTTTATTCCGGAAAATTATTGTGGGAGTATATTTTCCGGAAAATATTGAAAATGTTTTCCGGAATGTTTTATATTCTACTAAAGTGTGTTGGAAAATTCCGGAAAGTATTTATTTTCTCATTCTTCACTTTCCGGAAGTTCTATTTACTTTTCCGGTTTATTTATAAATTCTGATTTTACAGCGAAGTAAGCGCTCTATGTTGGGATTCTCAAGGCGACTTGCTCGCTATTATAAACGCGCGAACTCCAGCTCTGGTAGTCTATGAAAGCTCCAGTGGACAAATTCTTACAGTGGACATTTCTACAGGGGCTAAGGCTGTGCCCACCGTACTCAGGCATTTAAAAAATAATTTTTTTTTGATTTTTAAAAATTTATTTTTAGTTGGAACCCACATAGAGCACTTTTACTAATTTGTGATAATCGTGGAAATTTTGTTTTATTTGATTATTTGCTTTCTAGGTGAAGACATTTTTTGATGTTTTTTTCAATTTTTAAATTTTTCCTGAACAGAAAAGTCCCAATTATGGGAAAACATCAACGTTCTATCCGCACCTGCGCTTGGAACAAACAAGGAACATTGTTCGCCTTAGGCTCTGATGATACTCAGATAACTATTAATAATGCAGAAGGGGAAACGACGAGTACATTTTCTTGCAATGGGGAGATTATTGAAATTAAATTTGCTCATTTTCGGAATATCGGCTCTGAGCGTTCTGAGGACTATGTAAGGAGGATTTTTTGTCAAGAAAAAAAATTCAAAAAATTAAAAAAAAATTTTTAAAAAATTCTTCAGATCAGCGCCATAATAGCCCACAAAAATTTAATGATTGTTCGCCTATCAGAACCAGAACACCCCACAAATCTTCAATTCCAAGAAAGATATGGTAATTTAATCAGCACTGTCTGGTTCGGAAATGGCAATTTATTGGTGGGATTTGATGCCGGTTTTATTGTTTGCCTTTCGGCGGAACGTTCAAGTGATTCAATTTCTCAAGAATTATTTTCTATGCAAGAATACAAAAATGGACTTTCGCATTTATGCGTTAATGAGACAATGTTCAGACTTTTTTCGATAGGCGATAATTTGTCTGTTTAATTTTTAGTATTTTTAATTCTGATTTTTATTTAGAATGAAGAGTAGAGATTTGGGAAACTTGTAGGTATTTTAGTATTAATATACATATAATTCTGATTTTGTGTTTTCTTTTAATTCTGATATTATAATTCTGGTTATTATGGCTGTGTTTTGTTTTCAAATTCTGGTTTTCCTTTAATTTTGGTTTTCTATTTTTCCTACAGATTCTGATATTTAATTCTGATTTATTGTTTGTGTTTTGGATTCTGATTTTATTTTTGTGTTTTATAAATTCTGTTTTTTTTAAATTTTAATATTTAAAGAGGAGAAATAATAGACATTGTTGACGTTGATTCTGACGGCAGTGGGCTGTTACGAGTTTGTTGTTCCGAAGACGGGTCAATGACAGCAGTAACTTCTCGTTCTGGTGCCCTTTGTGTTTATTGTTTGTAAATTGTATTTTTACATTTTACAATTTTTGTTTTTACAGTAACCCGCCTTCCAATGGTGGCTTCAGCTTCTCCCAGTTTTATAGCTGTATTAGCCTCCCTTTCAGAAATTTCTATTTATCAGGACGGAAATATTGTATTTTTTTGTATTTTTGAATTATTAATTTTGTATTTTACCAGTCACCTGCACAAAGTTTAAATATTAAAGTTGAGCCTTCTATAATTGCTGTCGGGGTAAGTTTGTGAAACTTTTTTTACAATTTGTAAAATTTTTACAATTTACAATTTGTAAAATTTTTACAATTTACAATTTGTAAAATTTTTACAATTTACAATTTGTAAAATTTTTACAATTTACAATTTGTAAAATTTTTACAATTTACAATTTGTAAAATTTTTACAATTTACAATTTGTAAAATTTTTACAATTTACAATTTGTAAAATTTTTACAATTTACAATTTGTAAAATTTTTACAATTTACAATTTGTAAAATTTTTACAATTTGTAAAAACCCTTTTAAAGTCAAAACACATTGCAATTGTACTAAACAACAAAGCCTGGTTTTATGAAATACGCCGGAACACAAACATTTTTCTTTATGAACATGACTATATTACTGTAAATTGAGAGATTACCTAATTTTCATTTACTCATTTTAGACTATTGTCAAAATGAAATTGAGTCGAGATTTTGTTATGGCAAGACTGGATAAACGTGTGCACTTACACAAGGCAAATAAAGAGTAAAGGGAGAGTCGGATCTCGATATAAGATACCCCTCTATTTAAGAAACACCTCATCATAAGAGACCTCTATTTAACATACACCTTACTATAAGAGACGCCTCTATTTAAGATACACCTCACTATAAGAACACTTCTATTTAAGATACGGTTCACTATAAGAGACACTCTATTTAAGATAAAGAGACACCTCCATTTAACATACACCTTATTATAAGGATTATATCCAAGGGTGTACCTTACAAAAAAAATCCAAAAATAACACTCAAAATTTTCTCAGATTCTTCGTGGAGGAGCAACAACAACGACTCCTTCCAATGTCAATACCTCCTCGTCCACTACCACAACCACTATTTCAAATGATATATTTTTCCCTGATTGTAACGAAAATTCTGCTCCAGACGATTCTATTTTGGATTCTGATTTGGCAGAAAAATTTTTTGTTTATTCGACTAAACGCCATTTTATTTATTATTATTCTTTGGCATATGGACGTTTTGTTTCTGATTTTAGACATTCTGTGGCTATATGTTCCTTGTTTTGTGAACCTGATGGAATTAGATGTCTTTTTCTAGGTACTTTTAACATTAGGACATATTCTTGATTTTTTGACATTTTGAAATTGACATTATGACATTTTTATGGTTTTTTGACATTTTGACATCTTTCTGAATTTTTGGCATTTTGAAATTGACATTTTTATGATTTTTTGACATATTTCTGGATTTTTGACATTTTGAAATTGACATTCTGACATATTTATGACTTTTTGACATTTGTCATTTTTCTCTATTTTTTAACATTTTAAAATTAGATGAACTACACGATATTTACATTTACTCTCCATCCGACGGCAGATTGTGCAAAATACTGCTTCAAGGACCCTTTGAAGGAGGACACCAAGTTTGCATCTAAAAATGCTAAAAAATTCAAACAATTTTAAGCACATTGGCTGCCTTTGGGAGACCTTTACGGTCGACAAAGACACCTTTCTAGTCCATGGAAAACATCACATTTATGTTTTTATGTTGGCCAAGGATGTCCATCAAGGCGATTATTTATGAGAATTTTCGATAAAACTTTCTGATTTTTAAAGAGTTAACGGCCAACTTTATCAGTCAAGTAAACATACCTCAGGGGAATGTTCCTTTACTGCTTTCTAAAGGAATTGTTTATTGCCATACTTTTAATGGGAGGTTGAACACAGTTTTGTTGAGGTCGCATAAGACGGAGACTGTGGTAGATTTTTAAAAATTAAAAAATTAAATTTTCCCTCTATTTTGAGTTCACTGGGAAAGCTCCACAAGAGGTAGGGTTTTTATTTTAAAGGATAAAAGTGTGGGGAAGGAGGAGGAGGATAAGAGTTTCTGACCTATGTCGAACTATGACCCGTAGTTCACTCGGTAGTTCTCTCGGGTATACCCTCGTTAATAGCGACTCCTATAGAAGGGACTCTCGTTATTAGCCGCCTCTACATAACCGACTCTTAGCGACCCCTATACAGTCAACTCTCACTTGTGACGACCTCTTTATAATCGACTCTCGTTAAAATTATTTTTTAAATTAGCTTAGAGAAATGCTGAAACAATCTCTTCTACTTAAACGGTGGCGAAATGCTTGGAAAATATGCGAAAGTAAAAAATATTGAGGTCAGGGTTGTGCGCCATGCGAAAATTTTGGCGCACAGCCTTGATTGGGGACTAGGGTTGTCGGTTCTTGGAAATCTTCGGATGTCCGGAACCAAACCGATATCCGAACCGAAAAATCATCGGTTCTTCGGTTCGGTCCAGAACCGACAACCTATTGGGGATAGTTAAAAACTTGTAATTTAAGGCTTAAAAGAGCCAACCAGTTGGAAAGAGTTTGCATATGCTACAATGAAGGATTGCAATATTGAATTATGTAAATAATTCGGCTCTACTCCAGTTTATGCGTCCAATGACAGTTTATGCGTCCAATCAAAAAACAATTGGACTTTCATTGGACACATAAACTGGAGTAGAGCCAAAAATTCCACTGAAACTACAGTAACCCAAAAATTTTTAAAAATTTTAGCAGTTCGTATTTTCCGTCATTTGGGAGACGTCGCCATGGTTTGGGCTCTAGAAGAGCTTTTAATTATTGGTTGTATCTTTATTAAAAATTCCCTCAAATATCCCCCTTTTAACTTAAAGAAGACCAACAAGTCCTTAGCGGACACATAGCTTCTTTACTTGGGGATTTTGATTTGGCAGATAAACTTTTTTGTGATTCGAGTGAGCCCAAACTTGCGTTGGAGGCATATTTTAGCTTGAATAAACTTGAATATTTTTTAATTAGATGCGCCGTGACATTCAACATTGGGAACGTGCTCTAGAATTGGCTGCACAAATTGCGCCGGATGAGTTACCGTATATTGCTAAAGAGGTGAATTTTAAATATTTCAAAATGTCAAATTTCGAAATGTCAAAAAATTAAAAAAGTTTCAAAATGCCAAAACATCGGAATGCCAAAAAAAATTCAAAATGCCAAAAATTAAAAAAAGTTTCAAAATGTCAACAATTCGAAATGTCAAAAAAATTTAAAAATAATTTTACTAAAAAATACAGTATGCCATACAACTCGAATTTATGGGTCAACATGAACAATCTATCCGTTACTATGAACAAGCAATAATTCCAATAAAAGAAGAGGATTATGAAATTAATGAAGAATTGGATGAACACAATTGGGTGTGTAAATCTGGGTGAATTTTTTTTTAATTTAAGTAATTTTAAAATTATTTAAACAAGGCTGGCAAGGATGGCTTTACACACAGGTGACCTTAAAAGAGGAGTTGAAATTGCCCTTCAATTGCCTAGTAGATTGGCTAAACGAGATTGTGGGATAGTTTTAGAGCAGCTTAGGGTGAGTTGGTGTTTTGGTAATGGACGTTATGAAAATTTACCATTATGACCTTTTTCTGAAATTTTACCATTTTGAAATCTGATGCGCCGAAAAAAAATTTGGACATTTGGCCACATGAAGTAAAATCGGACATTTGGTCACGAAAGCGGAAAACGGACATTTGGCCACAAGAAGTAAAATCGGACATTTGGTCACGAAAGCTAAAAACGGACATTTGGTCACGAAAGCGAAAATCGGACATTTGGTCATTTAGGTGAATATAGGACATTTGGCCATTTAGGTGAATATAGGACAATTGATCACATAGAGTAAATAACACATTACCGTTTTTTGCTTTACCATTCCGAAATATTTAAAAATTATTATTTCCAGCAATATGACGAGGCTGGGGCGGTTTATGAAGCTGGTCAATTCTACGATAGAGCAGCTGCTGCCTATTTAAAGGGCAGAAATTTGTAAACTAGAGGCATTATAAAATTAGAATTTTTTTAAATTAATAGATTAAAAGTCCACAAATTAATGGAACAAGTACGTTCTCCAAAATTATTGTGCCAATATGGAAAAATGTTGGAAAAGGAAAAAAATTTTGAAAGGGCTTATAAGGTGAATAAATTAATTAATTATGGAATTAATAAATTTAAAAGGCCTATGAGAGGGCTCAAGATGCAGAGAATCAAATAAGAGTGCTCTTGCGTCATTTGAATAAATCGGAAGACGTATTAATTTAAATCAAAAAATTTTTCTCTTAAAATTCTTTTAAAAAGGCCGTTAGACTGGCAAGAGAAAGCAAAAGCATTGAGGGCTCTAAATTAGTGGCAAAGTATGGGGGGAGAGAATTAAATTAGTTTATTCTTTTAATTTTTAAAGTTACTTTTCTGATTTGGGCCAATTCGACACTGCAATTCAATTTTTAGTTATTTCTCTTTGTTATCAGGTTGATAAAAAATTAAAATTAAAAAATTTTCCTTGATAAAAAGTCTGACCCACTTGGCCAAGTCTGACCCACAAAATCTGACATTTGACCTAAAAGAGTAAAATCGGAAATTTGGCCACGTAATGTAAAATCGTACATTTAATCGAAAAGCGTAAAATTGGACATTTGGTCGCCGTATGCGAAAATCGGACATTTGGACACATGGACTAAATAACATTGATTATTAAATTATTTCTTAATCTTTTAAAGGAAGCTTTTGATTTGGCAAAAAGTTCTGGAAATATTCAAATATATTCTGCCGCACTAGAATCTTCTGTTGACTCTCAAGACCAAAACAAAATTAATTTAAATAATGACAATTCCCAGCAGCAAAAGGAGGCAGCTTTTACTCAATTAGCTGAATATTTTAGAAATGAGGGAAATGTTTTGGAGGCTGGGAAATTTTCTGGATTTTCTAAACATTATAGAACGGTAGACTTTAAGTACTTGCATGAGTATGTCTCGTTTGGTCACATAGGCGAAGAATGGTCATTTGGTCTTATTGATGTAATTAGCCATTTGATCGCATAAGCGAAAAATGGCCATTTCGTCACAAAGGCTAAAAATGGCCATTTCGTCACAAAGGCTAAAAATGGCCATTTCGTCACAAAGGCTAAAAATGGCCATTTCGTCACAAAGGCTAAAAATGGCCATTGCGTCACAAAGGCTAAAAATGGCCATTTCGTCACAAAGGCTAAAAATGGCCATTTCGTCACAAAGGCTAAAAATGGCCATTTCGTCATATAGGCAGAACTAGTACATTTCGTCACCTAACAAAATTTAAGGCACTTTCTCTCCTAACAAGCGAGCTTATCAGTCCAACTGTAGAAGAAACAGCACTTCAACTAGCTGTAGAATTTATAGCAGAATCAAAAGACAAGGAATTAATAAATGAGCTAATATCTTATTTAATGGGAGAAAGAGAGGGAGGAGATGGAATCCCCAAAGACCCAAAATATTTATTCCAACTATACGTCAAATTGTCGATGCATGAGGAAGGGGCTAAAACAGCTTTGATTATAGCACAAGAACAACAATTTAAAGGGTTTTATAAGACTGCACATGACCTTTTGTTTGGTAAGTGGACTAGTTGACATTTTGAAATTTTTTGGCTAGGTGACATTTTGAAATTTTTGGGCTAGTTGACATTTTTAAATTTTTCTACTAGTTGACATTTTGAAATTTCTGGGTTAGTCGACATTTTGAAATTTTTGGACTAGTTGACATTTTGAAATTTTTGGGCTAGTTGACATTTTGAAAATTTGGTTAATTTTTTCAATTTTAAAGAAATGTACCAAACTCTCAAACGTGAAAAGATTAAAATTCCTTCTGAAATGGAAAATGCTTTAATGCTTCTACATAGCTACAATATTGTTAAAAGCCTTCTGAAACGTGGGGATAATTATACTGCGGCTAAATTGCTATGCCGAGTTTCTGAAAATATTGGACAGTTTCCAGCTCGTATGTTTAAGTTGAAAGAGAATAGTTGACATTTTGAAAATTTTTGGACTAGTCGACATTTTGAAATTTTTTAGACTAGTCGGCATTTTGACATTTTTTGGACTAGTCGGCATTTTGACATTTTTGGACTAGTCGACATTTTTTGGACTAGTTGACATTTTGACATTAAATTCTTAATCTTAGATGCGGCACAAATACTCACTTCATGCGTGATTACCTGCACAAAGGGTAGAAACTAGGGTTTCACCGGAAGTTCCGGTTCCGGTTCCGGTTCCGGAAAGTTCCGGCTTTTTTTGGTTCCGGTTCCGGTTCCGGAAACCGGAACTTAAATTGGTTCCGGTTCCGGTTCCGGCTCCGGTTTTCAAATCGGTTCCGGGCAAACCGGAACTTTTTTACACCCCTAAAGATTGATTTTTTTTTAAATATTGGTTGGTCTTCCCCGGCTGGCGTTACAATATTCTCAAAATTTTCGCCTGCGGCGCAAGAAAAGGAAGAAATTTAGCCCTTGTTCTCACAAATTCTCAAAATTTTCGCCTGCGGCGCTGTTAAATGAAGTTTATATCGGAGGATCTGTATGGATGAAGATGTATTTTAAGTTACAGCATGTGCTTTCAAGGGGTCATAGGTAATACCGAGGGATCTGGGTGAAATATTGAGGGATTAAGCTGTGCAAGGTAAATAACAGGGATAGGATAGCTGGGATTTTGCCTTCCAAAACTTGGCATTTCTCACTTGGCCTTCCGAAATTCAAAAATTTTCGCCTACGGCGCTAAAAGGAAGACAAATAGGTTATTTTTGATAATTTGCATGGATTAATGGGGATTTGAAAGATACTGGGTGATTTCGTGTACCAAGAGTTAAAATGGTATATCGGTGATTTGATATCTAGGGATCTGTTGGGATGAATGATAATTCGAAGAAATTTGGGGATCAAAGGGGAATCATATAATTGGTGTGGTATCGGGCATATCATGGGATTTGGGTAGAACGGTTCGGTTTTACGGTTCGATTTTGGTTAACCGAAAGTTTCGATTCGGTTTGTCATTTCGGCTAACAAAATAATTGGGCTAAACCGACAAACCTACTTTGAATTCAAATTTCTTTTAATTTTTTTAAATTTTTTAAATTCGCTAGAAATTTTTTAAAGTTCCGGTTCCGGTTCCGGTTCCGGGCCGGAACTTTGAAAAGTTCCGGTTCCGGTTCCGGGAACCGGAACTCAAATTGGATCCGGTTCCGGTTCCGGTCATAATTTCGGTTCCGGTGAAACCCTAGTAGAAACGTATTTTGTTAAACTTTTAAAATTTTAACTTTAGCCGGTCTGAAAGCCTCTGCCTTCAAAACAGCCTCCCAATTATTCCAACCAATCTATAGACAAAAAATTGACGGAAAATATAAAAAGAAAATTGAATTGGTTGTTAGGTTGTTAAAAATATTTTTTACTGAAAGAATATTTTTTTTGAAGAAAATTTGGGCAAAATGCTGAAGACCCAAATGAACGTCTCCAGCCGTGCCCTTACTGTGGGACGCCTGTAAATGAATTTAATTTGAGTTGTAATAACTGTCAGGCGAATATTCCTTATTGTATTTTGACGGTGAGATGCTGTGATAGTGAGAATAAAAATCAGAATTTTGAATTAGAAATTGAATTTAAAAAATCAGAATTTCTGATAAAAAATCAGAATTTCTGATTAAAAATCAGAATTTCTGATAAAATTAGAATTTCTGATTTTCTGGTTAAAACCAGAATTTTTGATTTTCTGATTATAACCAGAATCTCTGATTTTCTGATAAAAATCAGAATTTCTGGTTTTCTGAAAAATTATCAGAATTTCTGGTTTTCTGATAAAAATCAGAATTTCTGGTTTTCTGATAAAAATCAGAATTTTTGATATTCTGATAAAAATCAGAATTTCCGATTAAAATCAGAATTTCTGATTTAATATTGTCGTTATTTTTATTCATTTTAGGGCAAACATATTATCCGTGAGGATTTTGCTCGTTGTCCAAAATGCAATTTCCCTGGTCATTTATCAGAATTTTACAAGTATTTAGTTAATTAGTTTAGTATTTTATTTTAATATTTTTCTAGATTAACAGATTTACATTGCCCAATGTGTTATGAACAAATTAATAGAGATCAAATTCAACCAGAAAATTTTGCTGATTTTATTTTAGAAAATTCACAATTTTAAAAATTAATCTATTAATTATACATAATTACTTTAATAAAGTTGATATAAAAATAGTTAAACGAATTTTATTCGTTAAGTTCCAATTGATAAAATCCATATTATTAAGGAACCCTATCCTCTATATAGTTTGAGAACCCTATCTATATAGTAATTTTTTAATATTTTTTTTAATTAAATTTTTTTAAATTTAATTTTCTGGATAATTATACTTGTGCATCTAGTATAGTATATACCATTCGAATCTCCATTAAATATAGTATCTAATATACCAAGACGAACTATACCCTATTAATATACAGTAAGTTATTTATGGATTAATAATTTTGTGTTTTTTTTTTGACTGATATTTTCAAAGTGGATTTGCCCAATGAAGTAATCATCGCGAATTGGGTTACGATATACCATTCGAATCTCCATTAAATATGATATCTAATATACCAAGACGAACTATACCCTATTAATATACAGTAAGTTATTTATGGATTAATAATTTTGTGTTATTTTTTTTTGACTGATATTTTCAAAGTGGATTTGCCCAATGAAGTAATCATCGCGAATTGGGTTACGATATACCATTCGAATCTCCATTAAATATAGTATCTAATATACCAAGACGAACTATACCCTATTAATATACAGTAAGTTATTTATGGATTAATAATTTTGTGTTATTTTTTTTTTGACTGATATTTTCAAAGTGGATTTGCCCAATGAAGTAATCATCGCGAATTGGGTTACGATATACCATTCGAATCTCCATTAAATATAATATCTAATATACCAAGACGAACTATACCCTATTAATATACAGTAAGTTATTTATGGATTAATAATTTTGTGTTATTTTTTTTTTGACTGATATTTTCAAAGTGGATTTGCCCAATGAAGTAATCATCGCGAATTGGGTTACGATATACCATTCGAATCTCCATTAAATATGATATCTAATATACCAAGACGAACTATACCCTATTAATATACAGTAAGTTATTTATGGATTAATAATTTTGTGTTATTTTTTTTTTGACTGATATTTTCAAAGTGGATTTGCCCAATGAAGTAATCATCGCGAATTGGGTTACGATATACCATTCGAATCTCCATTAAATATAATATCTAATATACCAAGACGAACTATACCCTATTAATATACAGTAAGTTATTTATGGATTAATAATTTTGTGTTATTTTTTTTTTGACTGATATTTTCAAAGTGGATTTGCCCAATGAAGTAATCATCGCGAATTGGGTTACGATATACCATTCGAATCTCCATTAAATATGATATCTAATATACCAAGACGAACTATACCCTATTAATATACAGTAAGTTATTTATGGATTAATAATTTTGTGTTATTTTTTTTTTGACTGATATTTTCAAAGTGGATTTGCCCAATGAAGTAATCATCGTGAATTGGGTTACGATATACCATTCGAATCTCCATTAAATATAGTATCTAATATACCAAGACGAACTATACCCTATTAATATACAGTAAGTTATTTATGGATTAATAATTTTGTGTTATTTTTTTTGACTGATATTTTCAAAGTGGATTTGCCCAATGAAGTAATCATCGCGAATTGGGTTACGATATACCATTCGAATCTCCATTAAATATAGTATCTAATATACCAAGACGAACTATACCCTATTAATATACAGTAAGTTATTTATGGATTAATAATTTTGTGTTATTTTTTTTTTGACTGATATTTTCAAAGTGGATTTGCCCAATGAAGTAATCATCGCGAATTGGGTTACGATATACCATTCGAATCTCCATTAAATATAATATCTAATATACCAAGACGAACTATACCCTATTAATATACAGTAAGTTATTTATGGATTAATAATTTTGTGTTATTTTTTTTTTGACTGATATTTTCAAAGTGGATTTGCCCAATGAAGTAATCATCGCGAATTGGGTTACGATATACCATTCGAATCTCCATTAAATATGATATCTAATATACCAAGACGAACTATACCCTATTAATATACAGTAAGTTATTTATGGATTAATAATTTTGTGTTATTTTTTTTTTGACTGATATTTTCAAAGTGGATTTGCCCAATGAAGTAATCATCGCGAATTGGGTTACGATATACCATTCGAATCTCCATTAAATATAATATCTAATATACCAAGACGAACTATACCCTATTAATATACAGTAAGTTATTTATGGATTAATAATTTTGTGTTATTTTTTTTTTGACTGATATTTTCAAAGTGGATTTGCCCAATGAAGTAATCATCGCGAATTGGGTTACGATATACCATTCGAATCTCCATTAAATATAATATCTAATATACCAAGACGAACTATACCCTATTAATATACAGTAAGTTATTTATGGATTAATAATTTTGTGTTATTTTTTTTTGACTGATATTTTCAAAGTGGATTTGCCCAATGAAGTAATCATCGCGAATTGGGTTACGATATACCATTCGAATCTCCATTAAATATAGTATCTAATATACCAAGACGAACTATACCCTATTAATATACAGTAAGTTATTTATGGATTAATAATTTTGAGTTATTTTTTTTTTGACTGATATTTTCAAAGTGGATTTGCCCAATGAAGTAATCATCGCGAATTGGGTTACGATATACCATTCGAATCTCCATTAAATATGATATCTAATATACCAAGACGAACTATACCCTATTAATATACAGTAAGTTATTTATGGATTAATAATTTTGTGTTATTTTTTTTTGACTGATATTTTCAAAGTGGATTTGCCCAATGAAGTAATCATCGCGAATTGGGTTACGATATACCATTCGAATCTCCATTAAATATAGTATCTAAT